ATATTATAATACATTTTACTAACTATTTATTTAAATTAATACTTATATCTTCTATACTAATATCTTATTCATTTTAAGAACAAAAAAAGTGTATATGAGACTATAATTTTATTACGTGGAAGTTTCATAATTTATAAGTTTCATAATTCATAGTTTTATAATTGTATGGATATTATAGAATAAGCACTGAGTAATAATATAAAAATGAATACTTATTTTAAATGCGTATTCAGTTTTTAATAAGGTCTAATGAATGAACTATGAATTTTTGATACAATCAAATGTAAATTAATTGGATAATAATACACTGAGCTATTTACTGAAAAAAATTGTATCATAAAAGCTATAAATATATTAAAATTTATCAGAATAATGTTTGCATGGTAAAGGCATTACTTACGTGAAGTTGGCCCACCCTTTTTCACGGATTAACTTGAAACCAATACCAATATTTTGCAAGTTCTTTGCGAGAATTTGCGAGTAAGCCGTTTGCAAATCATAATTAAAAAACAAAAGGGTGAGCCAACTTTACGTAGCTCCTCCAAGTCGCCCTAGAACTTCAAAACCGATACCAAACGATGCGTCTTTATTTGCGATAATTTGCGAGTAAGCCGTTTGCGAATTATAATTAAAATATAAAAGGGTGGGCCAATTTCACGTAGCCTCTCCAAGTGGCTATAGAATTTCAAAATTGTTTAACATTTTTAATTTTATTCAAATTATTTCCAATATTATAATTTTCAGATTACGGAATTAAATTATTATTATGGAATCTTAAAAAAATATTTTATCTGCTAAGGCTAGATTCACATGGAGAGCGTTAAACGCGCGTTTTTAGTCAGTGTTCACATGAATTACAGATTTTGCGCGTTAAGCTCGCGTTTAAACTATAGTTATAACTATAACTAGTAACTATAGTCAGTCGTGTTTTAAATTCTTTTTATTATATTATTTGAGTAATCACGACTGGTCATATTTCAAATCGAGGGCCTTTTTTCGATTTCATCGATGAAAAAATCATTATTGAATCCTTCCATTGTTGACGAAAAAGGACGTAACGCCTTGAAATACACGTTCCAACTGAACACGTCAATACAAACCTGTACAATGTTCATAAGCGCGTCAACTTGCGCTGACGAGCGTTGACAGGTTTTTTGCGCTATCGCAGCGTTGAACGCGCGTTGCCATCCAATGCGCGTTACCATGTGTACAGTTAGTGTTATGTGTATAGTTCACATGAGAGGCGTTAAACGCGCGTTAGCCAAACGCGCGCTTACAATTACTATTAATAGCTATTAACTGTACACATGGTAACGCAGCGACAACGCAAAAAACCTGTCAACGCGTCCAATTTGACTAACGCACATTTAGTGTTCGTAGCGGTTTGTGTGCACGTGCACTACCTACCCAAACTCAAAAAAAATTGAAAACATTAACCTGATTATTTTTCAAAATATAAATTCAGAATAGTATGAAAATAATATAATATTTAGATTGGGTTATTCCAAAGGCCAAACGAGCAGGCGGTTGTCCACGGCAGAACAGTATCGGTGTGTGTGTGTGTGTGTGTGTTATAGCGGTGCAGTAGTGCACACTATAGCTGTGCACATTTGTACAATGTAAAAATTAAAACAAGTCAAAACACACAACACGCGTTATAATGGAATTGATGTGCACATAACCAATTAAAGTTTTCAGCGAATTATATTCGACGTCGCCGCGTCGGTATCGGCATTATGATTTATTTTTACTCTCATTTGTTTATTATATTCTGATTATCGACTAATAATGTTAGTCATTATCTTAAATTCAAAACAACAATCGTGTTTCTATTTACTATCGACCACCAACGTAAAAAAATCAAAAAACAAAAAACGTTTAACGTTTTAACGTTGTATATATAATATTTGTTATAATTTTTCGGATGTGCTCTACTTCATTAAAAACCCACGAGCCGTTACTGGGAAGAATATAATTTTAATTCTAAAATTGTGATCAAATTAAAATTACCTATTTCTTACGTATGAATCTTATTATCCTTTTTTATACATAGCCTACCCATATTGTATTGATACTTTAAAATGTTTGTCAAATGATAATTCCTAATTCACAAGGATTTTCGAGGGAAGTTTTAACACCCTGGAGTCAATAATTTCTGAAAAAAATAATTGGTTTCAGGTATTCATATTATATAACCTTAACAAATTGCAGAAGTGTGTTAGAATAACTAAATATGTATGCCAATGGTTCATTTTGCTAGTCAGTTCTTTCTGGAAAATATAATTCTCATTATATTTTGTGGTTTAAGGATTATTTGATCAACAAAATATATAATAACACCAATTTATTAATGGAGAATATTTTGTTTTAAATATAGCTCTTTATTTGGATAACAAATTTAAAATTATATCAAATCATTGTATTTGTGTCTTTAATTGGAAAATTCATGAGTCTTCTGGAAGGTTCTATTGTGTTGCTATAGACCATAATTATAATTGAAAGATGTGTCTACAACTAATAAGTTAAAAATTTGAGAGTAATAATCTCATTTAGGGAAAATATTTTTATAAACTTAGTTTTAAATAAAAAAAAAAAATTGTTTTAAACAATGTTTAAAACTTACGAATAAAATTACAATTAAAAACTGTTAATTAAAACATAAAAATCATTGTTTTAAACAAATAAAACGTATTTTATGTGTTTTTTTAAAAAACTGATTTTTTTGCAACCCTAGTTGTGGTGACAAAAGATCTTATCTTCAATCGGTTATTACTTTGTTTCCTTTGAAAACGGGCCATTGAAATTCTAGGGCGTGTTAAGTGTGCTGACTTCACTGTAGGAAAATGGAATTTGCAGGTAAGGGCTGAACTCGTAAATTTTGAAAATGGACTCGCAAATTCTCACAAATAAAGACGCATCGTTTGGTATACATTTTGAAGTTATAGGATAACTTTGAGGAGCTACGTGAAGTTGGCCCACCCTTCTGTTTTTTAATTATAATTCACAAACGGCTTACTCGCAAATTTTATAAATGAACTCGCAAATTCTCGCAAATAACTTGCAAAATATTGATATAGGTTTCAAGTTAATCCGTGAAAAAAGGGTGAGCCAACTTCACTTACGTAAAGGCATCCACTACGAAAAGTTTGTTATTTTGACAAAACTATTCATCTATATTTCCACAAAGTTTTACCTTTATACCTTTACACTATTTCCACCACAAAGTTCAAATATTTGATATTTAAATTATGTCACAACCAACACTGATATACACTCATTAGACCGTGCATAAATTTACGGATTTCACAACATTTTAGTCATCATTAAACTACTCCACGTTAAATTCAAATTTAATATAAAAACATGTATACGTTAAAATGGTATGAACTACAGAGTATGCAGTATGTAGTTGTACATTGTAATAATTACATAAAAATGAAAATGCACCACTATGAAATATGCTTAATTCATGTGTGGATCTATCAACTAAATATTTTTTATTTAGATTTTATTACAATAGTAAAAATTTTAAATGTTAAGACCTGCAATTATAACCTAAATACATTTCATTTTTATACTTGTAAGTCTTAAGTTTTTATTTTTTTTTACTTTTTATACTTCGCAATTAAACAATCTGTAAATATAAGTTTTTTAATAAGTAAAAGTGACATTTATATAGTTTTAAGTTTATAATCGTTATAACTGTAATGTTGTAGTAGCACTTTAAAATTAATTAAAGTAACAAAAGGAAAGGGGGTTATAATAAATTTACGCTGTTTAGAAAATTTGGGTGGTATCACTACTGATACAATAATGTTTATTTTTAAATTTTTATTTTCTACAGAATTTATTTAAAATAACCATTAAATTCACATTTACCATCAACTCGTGGTATACGTAAAATGCTTTTCATAAATTGATAAAATATGGACAGTGGGGGCCCAATACCGGTTTTATTGAAGCGGGTGCTTCATGACTAACAATATTGGGGTGGGTACAGTGACGTATACATTACTTATGTATGGGAGGGGATCATTTGCATATAAATCATTACATAACATTATAAAATTTAAAAAAAGGCCTACTGAGGGATTCTGACCCCCCTTGTACACGCCATTGGGTGAGTAAATAGTGTTAGGTGACAGAAAAGTTAAATGCATAATTTTTGAATTTAATATAAAATACCATCAAATATTATTTTGTTCGGAGCTGTTAATTTTAATATTTTCTCTGAATCTGAAACTTGGGGTGGGGTCACTTGATACTCGTAACTGCTTTATTACAAAATAAACTTCCGCCGCTACTGGACAGTATCACATGATAAATTAAACAGGAATTTCAACACACAAGTAATTCTGTCACTGTGTAGCACAATAAATTGTATAGGCATACTGATATATTTAAGTTTAGTCAGGCAGTAATAAATGAGAAATATGAAACTGATACAACAATTTAATTATTCGTTCAAAATAAATCGATATTAAAAAATAAAAAGTATATCACTGCACGCGTTCAATAATTATTTTCAAACCGTTAAAAGACGATTAAAATTATTTGTTTTGAGACGGAATGGTTAAGTAAATTAATAAGAACCTGGTTCAGCTGGACTCTTACCATTCCTCCTTCTGCAAGGAAACCAAAAACTGATGAGACTTTGTCTAAACATTTGCCCGAACAAATCGTATACGTTGAAAATTTCTTAAGAGTAATGACGTTTAATTTGCCAGAATGTGTTTTTTAATCATTTGGCTACCATCAAGTACTGTTCTATCGATTAATTATGACTATACAACAATATAAAAACGCACCATAATTGTTTTAATTAATACAAATTACTAATGCTGAATAAAAATTTTAAAAAAATTGAAATTATTTTGGGTGAAAGGGCCGAGCCAAAAATAATAGCCCTGATTACATTGAGACCCGGCCCCGCGTGTAGATGATATGGAGGTGGATATTTTCTACGGCTTTTGTAATGGGACGACACAATGTGTTCGCAGGTACGGCAACTGCACGACAGACCAGTGCGCTGCGGAACGTGACAACGGCGGACACGAGTGGCAAAGGGCCGCGATGGCACCGTGGTCGGACGGCCGGTGTTACAGGCTGGGCACGCGGGGCCCGTGCGCCAGCAACGAGCAATTCGCGGTCAGATGGGACGTGATGCGACCGGACTGCGTGAGGACAGCCACCGAGCTGGACCTGTTCTCCAACAAGAAGTCGACGGCGGCCGAGCCGCCAGCCACGCAGGCGCCGCCGTGCAAGACCGACCACTGGGGCGCGTGCGTGGACGGCGTGGACGTGCTGGCGGACGACCCGACGTACGGGTTCAAGACGCAGCTGTTGGCGTCCGCCAAGAGGCACGCGAATCGGGACCGGAGGAAAAAGAAACGGACGCCGTGATCGCCGTCCCATCCCATCGATGTACGCGCGTAGCTCCGCAATACTCCGTGTACCGTCGCAACATCAATTGCACGCTACACGATCGCCCATCACTGTAATCCCTGTGCAACGAGCCCCACCCGTCCGATCAACGACCGTCGCGCGCCGATGCGATGGTGATAGAAATTTAAAAATTTAAAAAAAAAAACACAAACCGTATGGCGGGGAACGTACAGCATACGTTTTGTGTGTTCGCCGTACCCCTTGACGTGTGCGGACAAACGCGCCGCGGCCTCGCCGAAAACGTGCGCGCGTAAGTGACGGTGACGATTTGTTACGATCGACGTCAACGGGTCTGTTATCTTTGATCGTCACGCGTTCTTGTACGTGGCGATCTCCACCGCGCCGTGCACTTTTCTGTTGAGTGGGAGGTTTTGTCGAACCGTTTTGCGTAAACGGTCACACGCCGTGCTCCCGGTGGCACGGTGAACTCGGATGTTTTCAAAATCGTGAGTACATTTTTTGATAAACAACCGACCACCAAACTCACTCCCCCACGGAGATCCTGGTAAAAACAATGACCGCGTATAAAAATCGAAACAACGCACCTTAGGAGCGAACGCAGGAAGAAATTTCACGCGGGAGGGGGGGTTGAAAAAATTTAAAATATTCACAAACATCATATAATTGTATTGTATACATCGATTAACAAACCACAGGAAACTTTTAAATAACTCATTAGTTTTTTAATTAATTTATTAGTAGTACATTTGTAAGTCAGATAATTTATTTTTTGCTCATGATATTTGGGGGGGGGGGTTAACCTCTCCTACGTTCACCACTGATGCACCTATAACCTATAGTAGCTAATGACTAAAGGCGCGTCCACATAGTATGCAAACACGAATTACAGCACACGCGCATACACAGCATTCATTAAAAACATTGACAATGTGGACGGGTGTGGGTACATCAAAGGAAAATATGGTGACTGTTGGACGGGGTTTTTCATGATTTTGATATATTTACCGTTTAATGCAATAATAATAAAATTATCATCAGTCACTTTGTCAGTGTAGATGTGTTGTATACGGTAAACACATAAAGTATTGCGTTTAAAGTGTTCATAACTAATTTAAAATGGATTTTACTGACGATCGAGGAGTATTAAAATTAATTTACGAACACGGAAAATATTCCGTTTTGTGGGATCCTAGGGACAAATTTTATAAATCAAATAATAAAAAGAAGGATGCGTGGGATGCAATCGCTACAGTTTTTAAAATAAATGGTGATATTTTAAAAAAAAAAAAAAAATGAACTACGTTTTAAATTATTACGACACAAGCCATCATTAATTCATCATCCGTACCACTCGTTTTAACGAAATACCTTCAACCACTCCGAACCTGTATAAAAATCCAACTGTGTTCACGCATCTGATTTCATTCGTGAACAACACAAAAATCAAATACATCAAATACCATGTGCACGGTGAGCCTGTGTGCAATACGTGATGTTTGCAAACTTCACACACATGATTCAAGCGCGTGTGCTGTGTTTCGTGTTTGCATTAGTATGTGGACGCGTCTTAACAGTGCACAAGCCCGCAACACCGTGTTTACAGCGCGTCAACTTGTTCTTACCAGCTAATGGCTACCGGACACTGGCTTCCGATTGGTTTAATTCTAAACGGTTAATAATTCTAAATTTAATTTAATTCGATTCCGCTTGTTAAAAATATTATTTTTGTTAGTTATTTTTCGACTTTCATAATTATAAAACTAAACTGTCACTTACCCGTCCACCTACCAAACTGAGAGACGATCGCTTCTCGATTACCCCTTTAGACACCGCGCTCGGTATAATAATTACTTACAGGCGACCGGAACGAATATATTGTTATTGTTATTATTATTATTATTATTGTTGAAAACTTGTGAAAATCGAAAAAACACTACTGCAACCGTACAACGTGTTTATTTTTATATTTTTATACTTGTTTATACTTCATTATCATAAATATTTAAGCTTATTATACTTATTATGTTTTAACGAAATCAAGTTCCCATTGTACTCTGTGCGCACCAATACATAATTACTTATACGAACGTAGGAATAATACACATAGTATGTCCGGGTGTCTTAATGAAAGCTTACAACAAACGTCTATTTCATCTTCTATATATTATCTTATATGAACATTTTGTTTTGATTATTGCAAAGTATTATTTATTTATAAACATCTGTATACTGATATAACTTAGTATTTGTTTTAAAATAATGTATATTGGATTCGTTTTAGGCACCATTAAAATTACTTCGCTCAAAATCATCTACATCAACATTTGATCCTTATTCAAACATTTAAATAATTGTTAGTGTACCACACATTATGTATGTATATATATATATATATATATAAATTTAGTATAAGTATACGTACTATTTTACTGTCCGATCGCCACCGCACTACTATATTGATTGTAATCAATTGTGTATAGACACCAAACAAAACTGTTGAATGATTAAAATAGAGATGTTTAGAAATTATGTATATGATTGATTTGGTATTACGTTGGTACATTATTTGGTACAAACACTAGTAAATACTATTTATTTTTAATAAAACAATTTTCCTAAAAACCAATAATTTATATCGTAAAAATTAGGTACCTATATGTTGTTTTATGGATTTATGCATTCTACGAGATAGATCACTAATACTGCTCATTCTACTAAAAAACTGAATTTTATGTTTACTATTTATGTGTTTTAGATGCACCATAAATAAAATCACCAACTTTTTGTAAGATATAACGATAAAATTTGAACCAGCTAGATGGAAAGCAATTACCCTTTTGACCGATTGACGTTTTCTTTTCTTGTAATTAGCAGTAATACATTTCTGTGATTTGTTGACACTTCAAAGTTTATGTTCACGTTGTATATATTTACGAAAACTTCTATTACAAAATTTAATAAATATGGAATACAAATAAATATTTTAATGCTATATTATAGCCTAAATTGCTAAGTCTAATTATTTCTATGTACTTAAATAAGTATTTATAAGTTCATCTTAAAGTTATATTATATTATAATATAAAGTCTATATTTAATAGAAAAGACAAATATTTTATTCATAAAAAATATTATATTAGATCTAATAAATAAATAAAAATTTTAAAAGAAAATATTCATTTCGTATTTTTGTTGTCTAGAATTTTACAATTGACAGTAATATTTTTAATCAATGTTGATAATATTTATCAAACTTAAGTCGGATAAAAATGAATAAAAGTATTATTACAATTGCCAATATCTCGAGTTGTATATTCCATCGTAAGTCAATGATACAATTATTTGATGTTTTGCCAGAATTGCTTCTGTCTTTTGTATACATACAAAATAGGGCGATATATTTTACAGTCTAGTCGTCTTTATTACATGTATTTTAAATGGTTAAGAATTTTTAAAGTAATATTCCAAGTGTAGAACATAACAAGGGACAAATTAATAACAATAGAAAACCAAAAAAATAAATATTATAATTACATAACTTATTTTAGTATTAATTTTAATTGATTTTAACTAACATTCAAGTATTTATAATTAAAATATTGAGACAGTAAGCAGTAACTTTATCTATCTATAGTAGAACGAAAAAACTTTACTTTAGAACACTGGACCACTGCGGATCAGTAAGAAAAACGCTATTATTTTATAACTATGCATATTGAAAAAAATAACTGTTTTTAGTACATAAACTATTTATGGGTATAATATGTATGTAATGATACATTTGAAATTCATAAAATAGTTAGAAATTGAAGTAAAAATATACTTTTAAGGATTTCTGAGTGTTTATTTTAGTATGAAGGAAAAAGAAAAAATCATGATATAATATTATTTATTGTTGATCAAGAGTCTATACTTCACTAAATTAAATAAGTTCTAGTTGTATTTTATATCTAAGATATTTTATATGAAGGATAATCTATAATAATAAAATGACCACCAAACCACCTTTTTATATACGCCTATAAGTATAAGTATAAACTAATAATTTTATAATCAGGTTGGTTATAAAAAAGAAAAGATCATAAACATTTAGGTTTGGACTTTGATTTAATCAATTCAATAAAATTTCGATTAAAATTATAAATTATATGTATGTTAAAGTAATATAAACATCTAGTTAATATTTTAACCCCTATGGACATATTTTTAGACAGAAATAACTTATATCATTGATTATATCGTTCAATCAAAAGTTGTAAAAATTATTCATTAATTCAATGAAATTCGTTAGAACAATATTCATATCATTTTTGGTACTTGGTTCCTACAGGCGATATTTTAACATTCAATATTTGTCGTCACTGAAAAAATAACAGACAGAACGCTTTTATGACGCGTGGTATGCATACGTTTTATCCTGCAACACGACTAAAATATTTGTGTACGCAAGGCACTGATACGAAAGTGAATAATTGTATAATATTATGTAGGTAAATAATGTATACAAATGTATACATTTATCAATCAGACATTGCCGCATAAATATTGTTTTGTTTCTCTTCTATTGTCCACTTTTTAAATCACCAGTGTTCAGATCAGACGAGCATGTGTCAACGGTTATTATATGAATAACTTTCTACCCAAATAAATCTGTTATAGTACCTATAGTATAGGTCCTATACTGTTTTAGCTATCATACTACTGTACGATTAGTTATGTAAAATACATTTATGTTTAACTCATATCATGTATGTGTAGTAAACAACGTGGATAGGCTTAAAACCAAAAAGTTTGTAAACCTACATTATATATATATATATATCATATTATGACTGATCCACTTAACACGGCAAACAGTTTTTATTGTTATATAATTAATTAATTAATATATTTGTTTTTTTTTATCGGTATACATACAATTCAACGAGTTACTTTAGTACGTATTTTCACTTGGAGTATTGTCAGGACCGGATTTAGAAATATGGGGGCCCTGGGACCATCATTACAAGTAGATTTTTTTTCGATTATACATAACCAAAATTTCAAATAACCAGAATTTTGGTTAGGAAAAAACAATTGTTTGTTGTGATTTATCATATGATAACTTTGCGAGATATCGTCGCGAAAATGTTTCAGCAACTTGTGAAAAATCCAATAATCGTAGTAAATCAATTTAGCAGTACAAGGCTTGAAGTTGATAGTTGAAGTTCGTAGTCGGTTTTTCATTAACTTCTTTTTTGAAAATGATCGTTCCCCGATAGAGATGGACACCATCAAAACTAAATATGCAGTCGTTGTCAGATAAATTGAGACGACGACGGCGACGCTTTTCATGAAGTGTAGCCCAAACTAGTCGCTGGCAGTGTGGTGCAAAGGTCACACAGTTGGCTACGACGCATGCAGTTACCAGTTAGAACACGGTGTGTTTCGACCGCGCGGCGCACTTCAGTCGTATCAACAATTTGTTTATTATAAATGTATATAAAAATAAATTATTCGGCTGACCCGTGGCGGCGTCAGAATTTTTTGCTAGGTAGGGCCAACGGGAGGCTAACAATTATAAGGTAGGGCCACCAAAAATGAGATTTCAACAAAAGATAAATACTATTATTTAATATTTTCTACTTATGAAAAATGACTATATTATTATGTCCAAGTTCAGGTCAATGGTAGGGTCACTGGTAGGGCCAGTTATTTTTAGGTAGGGCTATGGCCCTACCTGGCCCGTTCTTGGCGCCGCCAATACGGCTGACCAGTGACAATATTAATTATTAATAGATATGGACATTATGGAATATACTAATATATATAAATATTTACTCTTTCGTGCCAGGATTGTGTTCGTATTCTTTTGTACTGAAAACGTATGCTATAATATAAAGTTTTTTTATAATGAGTTCAAAAATTAAAAATCGTAAAGCTCACAGTCAAGCTAGGGAAATAATTTGGAATTAATATCCTAAAGTAATTTTTGTAACAATTGTTGGTTTATTGATGTATTTTCGGTAATAATATTGAAGTACGGAGAACCACTGGTTTTCCGTTATCGCGCCGCCATCGCCGTCTCAATTTATCCGGCAACGACTGTACTTCTATATTAGGAAATATGAACTGCTAATTATTTTCCTCAATAATCCTATGTAAAAACATTTCCCATTGCTCATTATCTTTACGCGTGGGTCTATGTCACCTACCCCTTGAGCTGGGCCTGTATAAGTACTTGATAATTTCAAAATCATATTGGTTTGATATTGCTTTTTTGGGAGGCTTTTATCTTTTAGTTTAATAATTATTCAACCTAATGATCTTTTTCTTTTTGACGACATTAATACATACCAAATAAAACAACGATTGCAACTTAAATACAATTGATCCTTATTTCCAATACTCGACTTGGAAAAATTAAAAAAGGGGACTATTTACTTTAAAAAAAAGAGTGTCCCCAAAATTTGTTAAGCGTTATAATTATAACATAATAATAGTAGGGGGACGCTAAAATTTCTGAAAATTAGTTGGGGTACTCCGTCCCCTTGCATCCCCCCTCAAGTTGAGCACTGCTTATTTCTATTTATAAATTAAAAGAAAAACAACTAAAACATAATTTGAACCTGTTTGTTGATTTACTTATTTATTAAGAATATTGAAGAATAATACTAATAATCAAGGGCGTAATTTGAGGGTGGTCAGGGTGTGCGGTTACACCCCTCACTTTTAAAATAGTACCAATTGGTCTGCTAAAATAATGTACCGTGTTTTATACAATTCAAATCACATTGTATTTTTATATTAACAATATTGTTATTAATTTATTTTTAATTAAGACAATTATGGTTACATTTACATGATTACCTAATACTTAATATATTTTTATAAACAAATATTGTATTATGAATTAAATGAGTAAACAATAAAATTATTAAAGTTTGATTTTTTTAGTATTTTTTTCACTCATTTATATTTTATATCGACGTATTGTATGATAAAATTCCATGTTTCCTGTAGCAAAACGTAATAACATTAATATTTTTTAGATTTTATTATATTTATGCTATTGCTTTATTTACAGTAGGTCAAAAAATTCTCCATACACTGATTTTAAATTTTTCCATTACATATAATGATAATTAAAAATTTGAATAACTTTATATTTTTAACAACAATTTATTAGGAGACACCAGCGGCGGATTAGCCCACCGGGATACTGGGAAAGTTCCCGGTGGACCGGTAGTCGTATTATAACACTGGGCCGATGTACTTGGATTAAAAATTATTTTATAAAAATAATGTATTTAATTGTAAGATTGTGATAAAAACCCAGTGTAAACGTGATGTAAACAATTCTACGAGCATTTAATCCATGAATAAAGGAGACTTTTACGGAAAATTATTATTATTAAATGGTGGGTCGGTCATACGGTCATTTCCCGGGCAGAAATGTTTAGCCAATCCGCCGCTAGGAGACACATAAAAATTATGTTTTTAAAAAAATAAAGTATATATTAATTATTTTATTATTTTATTATTTAAGTATAATCATCACTAGATTTTTTGAGCGTTGAAATGGTCTTTGAACTTTCAATAATTAACAGTGTTCAACTTTTTTAAAACAGTTCTCAATTTGTTACTTTTTCTTCTGGGTTTAACACCAAATAATTTTTAATAATTATTATTTTTCAATTTAATACAAACTATTAAGAAACAGTTATTTTATAAATGCTTAATAATAGATTATTTCAAAATTTATCTTATGTGAACCTAGATCAAGATCTTGGCTTTAATTTCTTTCAGATGTGTTATTTGTCTAAACCAGTCCTGAAAGACGTAAATATGGGGTTACGCGACATATGCTGCTTTACAATTGTAACTGCAACTAAAATTATTAATGATAAATCCGTCGCCGGTCGCCGTCGAACGATAATACCACAGCGCGATAGCTCCAGGATATTTTTATCCATATTCATTACCGATATTATTATTTACTATTGTTTATTGTTATACGTCAAGATGGCTTGATTGCTAAATAGTAATAAAAATAATAATAGTGATAGATAATAATATCATTGGTTATAAGTAGAGCTTGTAAGTTCATGCATTTGCATATAAATCTTGCAAAGTTGTATTTAGTGCTAGATGACATAGAAATCCATTTCAAGGTACCACGATTAAATATGTGAAATCTTATTTTGCATGTTTTGCATATTTGTCGTATTTTTGTATTTTTTGTATATTTCTATTTTATCGGGCATATTATACAACATTCTATTAGAATTTATCATAAATCTAAATAGAAAATATATATAAAATTAAAAATAGGAATTATATTATCTTTTCTTTTCTTATCTTATTGATAACTCGTACATTTAATGAAGAAATTTATTTCAAAAGTTTCAGATGAATTACTGACAAAGACGTACATTTATACGCAGTTCATGAAGGCTTAAGAATAGTATTATATAGTATTTAAAATCTATTTTTTCTTTAATTGTGACATAAAAAAAAAAAAAATATAGCAAATATAGCTATAAAAAAAATGTTATTTCCAAATTTTTTTTATGATTTTTTAGGTAAGCATTTTTTAAGTGCAAAATTTTAGATACTTAGTGTATATAAATGCATATTTTTTAACTTTTTAAGGCATATTTCAAAGCATATTTTTCCAATTTTAAGTGCATAAATGCATGCTTATTTAGACATTTTTTAGGGTATGAACTTACGACTAACTTACGACCCTGGTTATAAGTTATTTCTCTGTCTAGTGTTCTTACAAAACTATAGTGAGTTTGAAATAATTTCCGTCTTGTTCTTCGAACGAATTAAATGCAATGGATTCTACTATTTTTACAGCAAAGATATGTAGAAAAAATGAGAGGTTTTCCATAAAAAAAAAAATCTAAAGTAATAGGTCCACAGAGTTTATTTAAAAGTCGATGGGCGAGATACTTTAGTTATATTTGGTATTTATTTATTTTATATTCTGAGTTTTGCGAAAAATGTATTGTATTCAGTGGTGTAACTAAGATTTTTTCAAGGGGGGTGTTCGCCAGTGGTATAATATATAATATAATATATACAGCTGTACAGTTATTTTTTAAAAGTTAATAATTATAGAACTTCGAATCACTACTATGTAATATTTATTGTATTATTTTATTCAAACCTACCACTGTAATTATTTCTGTGTTTGGCCATTCATACCTTGACATTCATTTGATAAATTTAAAATCATTGCCAAAATTTTTCTCAAAAATAAAATAATTTTAATAGTCACGTCAAATATACAAATATTATAGAAAGTTATTATACATATTACAACTTTACTAATTTTGTTCTGGGTTAACTTTTTTATGGCGTCATCTGTAGTATCTGCAATTGCATACTGAATATTCAATGCAGCAATTCAATTTAATATACAAGCTGATATTGTTAGTTGATATTAGTATTGATATTAGTTTCTGAGTATGTTTTCAGTATTTTTAAAGTTTTTTTGGTCCAAAAAGTCGGTTATATTTTTATTAACCCATTTACCTACTCATTTTATTTTTTCTTTGTTCTATTACTAGACCATTATATGATTATATAATTACATTATATGATAGAACTCTCAATCACGGGTTTTTCCTATCTAAAGACAATTTTTATCTGATTTTCATATTATGTATGGAAACTTTTTTGTTGTTATTTTTCTACATTTATTTATAAATATACATGTAAATAATAAAATAATTAATATAAATGCTTTGTGTTTTTCTAAAACTTTAATTATTATGTATTTCCTAATAAATTATTAATAATAAATTACAATAATAAAAATATTAAGTTATTCAAATTTTTAATTATCATCATATGTAATGAAAAAATTTAACATCAGTATACGGAGACTTTTTTGGCCCACTGTATAGTAAGTTTTTTTTGCTTGTATTCATTTTTAGATTTATTATGGAACTCAATGAACAATTTTTAAAATGGCCTACTTGACATCCCACACACAAAAAAAAAAAAACTGAAATGACGCCACTGCTAATAATAAACAAAGAAACAAAGTCTGAATCTTTTGAACAATTTGAATTTCTCAATATTTGGGATGTATATCGTTAACCTTGATTGTAAAGTTTTTTTTATAAACTGTTGAATTTGTTTGATATAATTTGAATATGTTATATTGTATATGTATTTTTATATGCACATTTATTATTATTTTTTCTTTGCTCTCAAAGTATTGATGTTTATTATTTGTTACATTTTTTTCTTACATTTTTTAAACTTTATTATTTGTTAAAAGTAAATTTTTATTATTTTGTAATCAAATTTTGATCATTGTTGTATATTTCTATATTTTGGCCTCAGTAATAAATTGGGTGAGAAGAGAAAAAGAAGAGGAAGGATTTAATTTTGGTTATTTGGCAAAATATTCATAATTGTCATATAATACTACAGTTCTACTTTTTTTCTCAATATTTCTTTTTGATTAACTTGTATTTTCATTCGACATATTTAAAATGTATATTTTATTATTTATAACGATTTATTTTGATTTGTTTAGTGTATCATGAGAAACGTGCACCAGCAATTACAAATTTACAATTTCAAATTACAATTTTTATGATAATTATGGTTTTTATGTTCATACTACAGACGAACGGTATGGTTTCTGTAATCATGATACTGAACAAATGTCAGCGTAAATAATATGCACTAATCAATTTTTACACAAATAATTGTAATTCTTAATAGTATGCAGTGGCGTAGATACAATTTTTTTTCTGGGGGGGAGTGGTGTTTAAGAGTAAGTTTTTAAGTCTTCTTAGTATATCTTAAAACGAGATCATATGTAATAATATTAAATTTAAAATGGTATTATTATTATGTCCCGTATTTAATGAAAATTATTTTGTTACTCAATTTTTAATATATCATAGTAAAATCAAAATATTTTACTATAATATGTAAATATTAATAAATAATAATCAAATATCATTAAAAAAAATCTGTGAGGAGTGGAAACCACTTACACCCTCCCCGTAACTACGCCACTGATAATATGTATAAAATAATATGAATACCGATTATAACACACGGTTTATTGATTTTACGAAAGTATCGGTGATTTTTGTTTTGTTTTTTAGTAATTATAATGAAAATATTTTGTAAAAATAAAAAAATGCACGGTTTTTGTTCATTATACTGTACCAGAATTATCCGAGTGCACGAAAACTTCAGCCGAGCTCATTCATCACGGTACCCAAAACACAGATAACATTAATCGATAAGGAAATACGACAAGATACTACATGCTCATAGTACATAATTTACGATTGGTATTATAATACGGAGCCAAGTTGTCTGGAGGAATAAACACTATCGACAAAGGACACGCAGAACGCGTCTGTCAAACCTTCTTTCTCCCCACCGCGGCGCACGGATGGTCATCGACGGTCTCCGTCTCTTGAGCCGGCAGGGGTTTTCCGCCGCCGACGACTCTTTCATTTGATCCCGACTGCCCGCCGATCGAACACTCCGGCACATATCGATCACACGATAATGGCCGACGAACTGGTGTTTGACACGAACTACTCGTTGTTGACCGTCAACTCGCAGATAATTTACAAGCCGACGGACGAACGCGACGACCCGGAGCCCGACAACGACCACGAGGTGTATGTGGGCAACCTACCCGCGTACTACACAATCGAGAAATTTGTCAACTTTGCAAAGTAAGCGCTGTCCACGCGGTCTCCTCGTTCAACGCGAACCGCGCCGCAAGACGTTTTCTTTTCGCTTCTCGGTCCTAGCGTTTCCAGTTAAATACACTTGCATCGCTATAGCCTACCGTTTTGTTCGAATCCTCTACGGTGGACCGTATTTTTCGTATTTTTGTCCGTTGCAACAGCTATGAAACCCTCTTCCCTTTAGATCTGGTTTTCTAGAAATTAACTATACTTTTCGGTATTCAGGAAAAGAAAAAAAATAGTTTTTATAAAGTCACTGACGTATAATAGTGCGTTTATTTAAAATGTATGGAAATAAACAAGGTGACCATAAAGTACCGTAGTACGTTTCGGCACGTATAATTTTGTAGCATCAGTAGTTGGTTTTCAAATTTTAATTTACTTTTTGGGTGTTTCTGTCCCCTCATTTAAGTTCCTGAAAACGTATCTAATTTGTTATATTTTTTTTTTTTTACTCCGCTCGTTTTATCTTGATCCGGATTGACCCGTTCAAAAAAAAAAAAAAAACGTTAATTAAATACCGTGATGACACGATTATACTTACACGGCTATATTTAGGTATGAATTGAGGAAAAATGAAATTAAGGCCCTGTCGAACGTCATGCATTTGAACGAATTACCTTTTTACTTGCATAATAATAAAAATAGACGAGTTATTTATAATATTTTAGAACGAAATAAAATTGTAAAAATTGAAAGAAAATATTTCATTAACCTAAGCTTGATAATTATAAATTTACAATTTATAGGAACTCTACAATTTTTAATAATTCGCTCAAACGCTGTCAGCTGATCAAAAACAAAATGTCTGAGATAACCATATGATTTCATTCCAAAGAGATTGCCACCGTTGAACACGTGATAAAAACATATGTTTTTCGTCAGCTAATCTAAATTTTTTCCTCTGAGTGTTACTGCTGGGTAGCTTCTCTTCTCGTTCCTTCATGTCATTACAAAATATCTAAACGCTCATATGCTCATTGCAATTATTACAGAGTGTAATAAATGTTGAAAAAAAAATAAATTATTGTTTGATCAACATATTATGCATATAAGATCACACTAATTATTGATGTAATAGACATTCATATTTAAATTTATCAGTTATCAGAACTTTAATTTTTTACGTATTACAATACAGTTTTTAAATTCTAAAATCAAAATTTTGTTTGCATTTAACTTGAATTTTGTTCATGATTTAAGTATTTTTAAATCATTATTAGAATAAAGTAATAAATATTAATAAATAGTAATTATGATCGAGGAGCATTCAAGTATTACGTCTGCATATTTTTTTTTTTACCTTTTTTACCTCTTTCTCATGTTTACGTATGTCAGACTGTGACTAACCTCCCCTCCTCTTCTATTTTACATTAACCTTTTTCATAGACCCACCTCCTAAGTTATTTTATTTTTATTAATAATATTAATTTCTTCAATTATCATAATAAAGATAATTATAAGAATAATACAATGTTGTTGATAACTAATCGACTAACCTTTGATTTTCTCGCGCGTTAATTTGAATTTGGTAAATTTGATGTTAACTTCAGATTGAGATTTAGCACCCCATCCCTCGTATAAAGTACTGTCAGATTTCTCGTATCTTTTTCACCAGGTCTGCTGACGTAATACTAGAATGTTTTCTAGAACATAATTGTAATAAAAATTAAAATAAATAAGCTTGCTTAACATTTTCAATATTATTCAAGAAAATAATTATTACCTATTCAGTTTTACTATAATCCAATCATAATAGTTATATAAACTAAACTGACAACTTATAGCATAATACATATATGTATGGGTAATTTTGCTTTACCTTTTCAAGGTGTACAAATTATTTATAAAAAGCAACGAAATTACTATTATATTAAATAATTGAATGTAAATACAACATTGCTTATTCATTTTTCAAATAATATTTTTAATTTAATGAAAAATATTAAAATATAATCTTTTTTATTCAATTATTAATGTAATATAATCTACTAATTAATTGGTAGAATTTTACCACTCGAAAATTTAACAAAGAAAAGAAAATCAAGAACCAGAATTTTATTAAATGCATTTCTCACTTTGCTCTGAAAACTTAGTATATTTTATTTATTTATAGTAAAATATTTTCAGCAATAATAAAAATTTGCTCATTTTTAATTTTAAATGAAGTGTAAACCTTTTTTACTGATATAATACACATTAAAAATTAATAATGTTAACAAAAAATAGAACATTAAAAATATATATTTTACAAACAATATATTTGAATAAAAAATAATTAATAATTTCATCATATAGAACCAGCAATCAAAGAAGTAATTTCTTACTTTTTGTAATTTATACAGATTTGATTTTATAATATGTGATTTTTTTTATTTTTAATTTTAACATTTTTAAAAAAAAAATTAGGAACCTACATGTGGATTCATTTTTAATAATAATAATTTATTAACAATAACAGTATTGATGTGTATTATATAATATATTATTTACATTAGCTTACTAACAGGGATATTATTAAGGTTAATTTTGAACAAAATTATATACATTTTTTATAATTTGACTGTATGATATAATTATTCTTTAAAATATTAATATTTTTTTATATTTCAGAATATCTGGTTCAATTTACAGTGTACGTTTGCTTAAAGGAAATGGAGGCTTAAATAAGGGTTTTGGTTACATTTTGTACAGAGAGTTGGCTGCTGTTGACATTGCAATTAAAACATTCAATGAATGTTATCTGCCGGAAAGTGATACTAATAGACCACTGATCGTACAAAAGAGCCTACGTAATACTATTATGATGATTTATGGATTATCAAAAAGAAATAATAATATTTTCTACATTAGGAGTGTAAGGATTGAGTTTTAATTTATACAAAATACTTTATATTTATCATTTTGGTATTGTTTTAACTGTAAATTATTTAAATAATGAAAACATAATATCGTTAACTCATACTTAATGTTCTCACAAAAATTACAAGTTTATTATACATTTATTAATAAAAAATATATTAATGTTTATAAATTTTAGGAAATTAATTATTTTGTAATCAACCATCCATCACTTTTGCTGAAGTTCGAGTGTGAAGATGATACTAAGTTATTTCTATCTTTTAAATCATTAAAGTAAAATTTAATATTTATTAAAATAATCATTGAATTAAATTAACTATTCTTTTTATTATTATTTTTTTTTATTTAGAGCAGCACAAATTTTTAAGAAAAAATTGAAAGAATCCTTTAATTTTTATGGAGCTAAAATGTACTACTTCAATGATGTAGAAAATTGGGTAAGTTAGGAATAATAAAAATTAACATTACCTATTTAATAAATAATAACAAACCTGCACGAACAAATGGAATACATATTAAAATTAATTTGGAAACTTACTAACCTATTTAGTTTAATAATTCAATATGAATTATATCATAAAATAGTAGATAGTAGTTTATATTAAACTAACATTTTAACTGTACATTTTATCACTTAGTTTTGTAAAATATTGGTTCAATTATTTTATTACATTTAAGATAAAATTAAATTGAAGAAATATACATTTAAACAGATATACATGTTATAGACAAACAATTTAATTATTATTGATACTTCATACCAAATAAAATATGTTTTATAAAGTAGTTCTTATAGTTTTATTATGAATTACCTATATTAGGTAAATAAATAAACAGTAAAATTGATTAAACAAAATTTTCAGGGAAACAATAAGAGTAGAATTTCAGTAAATTAAATCTAGTTTTAAAAATTAAGGGATTAAAATATAATAATATTAGTATGCATATAATATTATACACCTACAATAGCTCAATTACCAACAATAATCATAGATATATATAAAAATTCAATAACTGAATCTGATAAGATATTTAGGTACTTTAAATTTTTGCAAAAAGGAAAGTTATTCATATAAGGTTTTATAATTATAAATTATTATTTTTATAAATTAAAAGAACTTTTTAAAATGTCAAGTTTGAAAAAGACAAATAATATTGTTTGTGAATTGTTTTATTGAAACATTAAAAGAAAATACTGAGGAAATTAATCAAATCAAAATGTTTGATTAAATTATAATAATTATCATAGTCTATGGAATTATGTTATTATGTTAGAGATATATTGAAGTTAATATTATTACTTGTGTTTGGCATTTGATGCTTTATTCCACGTAAATTCGATTTTAAGGTCAACTGACATCAATCATCAATTAAAAGAAGTAAATAAATATATATAGGTGTTAAATGTTACTTATGTTTATATATACTTACGTTATAATTGGTTTTTAGAACTTTAAAATAATGATAAGAAATCACTTTTGATAATAGATAACTTTTATCAATATACTTTTAAGCACGTTTTCCCGTTTATGCAATAATTACCATATCCCACTACACGTTATATTCTATTAGTATATTAAGTGATTCTTTGTCATTTGTTATTCCCCTTTTTATTTAAAATTGGTTGTTGTGTTTTATTAATTTTTAATTTTATTGTCATTTAATTTCTTTTCTTCCAACCATGGCCAATTCTGTATATGATACTTATGTATCTCCTCTCTCTACAAGGTATGCTTCAACAGAAATGAAATTCAATTTCAGTGACAGAAAAAAATTTACTACATGGAGAACTCTTTGGACTTTATTAGCACAAGCTGAAAAGGTAGTATATCCAAAAACATTTTGTAGATTTACTAATTATTTGTTTAAAGAATTTATATGTATATATATATACATAAGTACTTGTAAGATATATGAAGGTATGGCTAACAGTAGCATATTTATTTTAAGCCACTATAAGCATGTATAGATGTAGGTACTTTTTCAGAGGTACACTATTATAAACGTCCATTTTTTAAAATGGTTTTGACTCATGGGTACTTAAAATATTTTTATAATAAATATAATGTGTTAACAAATCCATTCCATAATAGAATATTTATTTTTAATTGTATGTAACTAGTAATATTATCAACACTTGGTGGCTGGCAGTTCTATGTATATTTGTAGTTTCATAGATCTTTATCTGAAAAATATATTAAAAATAAAATAAATCAAAAACTGAGGGTTGTCATTGCTGACTTTAAAATAAAATGTTATATATAAAAGTACATATATATATTTATTATATTTGAGTCATTTAGAGCAGCGATTGTTCTTAAGATAACAAATATAAAAATATGCTCTTGATGACTTTTATTTAAAATAAATAAATTACTAATCATATATTATGAAATGCTATTGTACTAAATGACTGATGTTTTTGATATTATTTTTTACTTGCGTTGTTCATCTCCTTTTTGTCAAACCACCTACACAAGGTGGTTGAATCTAAAGTTTGAAATATTCCACTGCCTTAAAAATATAGATACATTTTATGGATATCTATTATCTATAAATATTATATAATACTTAATATTTTTATCGTTTTACTAAAAATTAGGAGAATATAGATAAAATAATAATTTTTCTAGTCAGACTTAATGCCCTTTTTACTGTTTTGGACTGGTTAATTATTTAGTAATACATACATGTTTATCTTAATTATTTTCATTACTTAGCATTGAGCTCTTTAATAGTTATATTTAATAAATAATAAAAAAAAAGGTAATCATTTTAATTTTAGTTTACGTAGTAAGTTATATATCTTTATAATTTGGAAACAATTTTGAAGCATCAATAAAAAATTATCTATACAAATCTAATTATTATTTTTAATTTTATTATTTTTTTACTTATAGAATACTAACACTTTTAGAAACATAGATTATTATTTAATTTCTGTAATATGATTAGAATTTACAGTAAAACATGTATTTAACTTGTAAATGTATAATATATAAATATGAATTAACTGTGTTCCATACAAATCTAGTTATTATTTTTGAAATAAGAAACATGTAATTTAAATAGCTATTTTATATTTATGTTTTATAAATTAACTTAGAATTTCACTTATACAATACTAACACTTTTAGAAACGTAGAATATTATTTGACCTCTGTAATATGATTAGGATTCATAGTAAAGCATATATTTAACTTGTATATGTATAATATATAAATATGAATTAAATGTATTCCTGATTTTTATTTAAAATTGAAGGAACGGTGGGAAGATTTAAAGAAGAATTTTTCAATTAATTCACAAGGTAATCGTGTAAGATTTGTTCCTATTATTCCTAACAACACTAACCGTCTTGATGTATTACCACCAAATTCACCCAGAAGCTTGTTGTTTAAACCTTTTATTCCAAAACACATGACTAAATCTACCAGTGTTGAAAATATTAATGTAACACAACATACAAATTATGAGAAAAGCCAAAATACTATTCCAGTTAATTCATGCCAGAAATCTCCTATTTATTCTGTTAAATCCAATAAGAAACATCACAAGTGTGTTGGTCCACAAGTTTCGCAGCAAAAACAAAATATAAAAAACCCTAACACGTCAGTTTGTTCTGTAGATAAATTAAATATGAATACATTAGATAATAGTTTACCTAAATTACCATTGCACACTATTTGGATCAATGATAATGTATCACAAGACTTAAGATGTACTTCAACAATAAAAAACAATACACTTAGAAAACCATTTTCCTCAGGGCTCAATTGTTTACCACAAACTATACATAGTGTACCAAAGTCAAATTTCCAAAATAAAACTCAAGTATTATCTAATTTATCAAACACAGTTAATAATTTCGGATCGTTTAATTCATTGTATTTGCTACCTTCATCTTCAAGTCACAAGACATATTCTCTTCCTAAGAATACAAATACTTCATTTTTTTCTTCAGATAATAAAAAAATATCTTCTGCTTCTGACTGTTTAAACATAGACGATATCTGGAAAGATAATTAGCATCAACTAACTGAAATGTAAAAGCTATTTATTTACGTGCCCTTAATTTAATTTCATGTTCCTAACTGTGAGTCCTAAATAATTTATATGCTGTAATTTAAAGATATGATTTTTAATGAAAACATTTTATGAGTTAGTTGTATCACATAACTCTCCATTAACATATAGATTTAACATAACCTGTCACAATCCAAACATATTAATGACATTTTGTGAGTTATTTTTTTTTTTAGTAATAATATATTTCTATATAAGTACCATAGATTAATTTTAGACAATATTGAAATAATGTGCATAATATTAAAACATAATTTTTGACAATTATTAAATGAATTAAAAACATTTTAAACATATTTCATTTAAATACATTAGATTTACTTGTGAAATTTAACTTACATAGTTCATTAGTTTTATTGTTATGCGTTAAAGTTTATTTTTTATTTACAAATTTAAAAATAATAAAACAACAACTCAGTCCTTAAAATTAATAACTAATCAAAATTAAATCTAAGGCAATAGAAATGTATAGACATTTTATATAATGTACTTCTATGTAATACAATTTTGGCATTGGCCCTATGTTTTTGTGATTTTTTATTTTAGCGATATTTTTTCTAAAAATTATTAATAATGTATTACGTGTCTTAAGTATGTTTTTCAAATAACTGATGTAAGATTAATGATTGATTTGAAGTATATTATTTCAATTTTATTAGCACAAAATTATTTGTATCGGATCAATGACTAAAATGCATATCTAAGTACTTATAGTTTAAATGAATAAAAATATACAAGTACAAAAATATTATAATGGAAACTGTGTACTCATTTGCCTAATTAATTTATGTTTTAAAATAAAAATACTAGCATGACTGAAAAATAATACTGCAGTAATTGCATAAAGTTGATACTGATATATCGTATTGAATGTTTTGTTTCAAATATATAATACTTATGAATAAAGTTAACCGAAGACAGTGCTGATAGTTTAGAAACTGGTGCTAATCGGTTAAAACTATGTCGTCATGATACGACCGTTAAAAATGCCTTTAATGGTGTGTGTGTGTGTGTGTGTGTGTGTGTGTGTGTGTCAAGTGTTGCTGTATGTATTGTAAATATATATATATTAAACGTTTTGAAGCCAGTTTTCTTTTTAGATTACGTCCGTTGGGCGCGTAGAAATAGACAGCGATGTAAGTAGTAGTTTACGACGTCCGTTTGTCGTTTTTTTCTCGTTTTCCCTTTCACATTTTTACCCGTACTTGAACGTCAACACGAAATCGGCGAAAAACGTGATGGACGTCAGCCCGGCCGTCACCGCCGAGGATATCATCAAGTCCATGCGGTTCTTGGACGGGCGCACCTGAAGCGCGAACTGGAGCGCTCTCCAGTCGGAGAATATGACGCTGGCGGCCACGGCCAACATCAAGCCGTACCAGCATGACACGATCAGACACTGAAAACATGATACGCGGGCGTCAAAAGCGTCGGGCGAACAACGAGAAAGAATGGCACCGGCCGGTCGTAATGTGTACCTACAAGAAATCTGCACGGGTAGGGCTAGCCCTACCCAATTCGTACCGGGCTTGGACCAGGCCGTGCCATAATATTGCGGTTTGGTAATAGGCGGGATCGGTGTATTTTTCTTCGGACCGAGCCGGCCAGAAATAAAACTACCCAAGTACAATATAAGATTGCATTATTAATGCCAATTATTTGCCGTTAGACAATGAAATGTTCTCGAACTGACTGAAAAGGCTTGTCACAAATCGTTATTATTAATCTACGGTATTTATAAATTGATCACCGATGAAAATAAATAATAAACATTACGAACGGTCTCGGGAGGGGGGGGGGGGGGGGGAAATTTTTATGTTTTTGTGCCGGGGCGGGGGGGAAAAAAAAACGACCCTCGCAGATTTGTAGTAGCTACCACGCGCGGCGCGGACTCACCGGCTTTTTCGGTATCTTCTGCTGCAAGAAATGGCTGACCACGATGAGCAAGTCGACCAGCACGGCGCCGGACAGTGCCGAGTACACGAAACCCGCTCGGCCCGTGCTCGTGTGCAGCCTGGACGAGTATGGGCTGACGAGCAGACATATGCTGGTCAAGCCCAGTACCTGCAACAGAAAAACGGTTAATGTTCCCGCGCACGAGATACGCAGTGCTACTAGGTCGTGCGCGCAAGACGTTGTTTTTTCGTCGTCACGTCGAGCGGCCGCAATGCCTTTATACTCGCTCACGTTCGTTTCGTTTGTTTCTTTCGAATCGTTTGATTTTGATTATTTAATATATCGTTAGAACAAGGATGGCCAACCCAAATGATCTTGCGGGCCGCTTTGTAAATACATTACAATCCTGCGGATCACATATAGGGTTGCCGAAAAAATGTCATCAGCCAAAATATTAATATAATCACATATTTTTATATTTCTATCAGATTAAATTAGAATTATTACTTTTGTTGCGATTATGTTGTTATTAATACAGATACCGCGTTGCGCGGGCATTTCAGAATATTCTATCGGCGCAAAAATAATTTTTTTTTTGTAAATATTTGATAAATGTCGCGGGCCGCAAAAATTTCCAAGGCGGGCCGCTTGCGGGTCGCGGGTTGGCCAACCCTGCGTTAGAACATTTTTTCGGCCTTTTCGTGTGTACGTAAATTATTGGCGCAACTAGGGGGAAGCTTTGCCCCCCAAAATGTATTATAGCCCCCTCAAATTTTTTGATTATTTAAAATTTAATGATAATTTAAGCATGGGATAGTGAGATACATACTAAATAATATGAATATATGACGCAGAGAATTATTCAAAAGTAAATTGTATAAATATAAAATATTATTATTATAGTTTATTTTGTAATTCCTACAAATCTACATAATTTATAATAATATTGTTATCTAATAAATGTGACGGACGACGGCGGAATATTGAGGTGGTGTTATGTCATATTTTATGTAAAACATATTACATAGAAGTAGGTACATGATTTTTAATAATATAGTATGGTAATAATATTTTATGATTGTTTTAATTTCAATTAATAGTTATTGTTCTGTGTCTGCGGCAATGGGGGTATGGGGGGCGAAGCCCCTCATAGCTCACATTGACTATATTTATTTATAGGGCTTCAGCCCCCCCCCCAATATTTTAGACCTAGTTGCGCCAATGGCGTAAATCCAGATTTGATTCCCATCACTAATATTTATCGCACAGTGAAACTATTCTGTTTCGTAATTAATAAAGTATACAGTTTTATCGTCTTCAGTGCGTTGTTAATTCGTTTTCAGAAATCACCTAACACCCCGAATTATTAGAGACATTTTTAACTAGATTTTTTTTGCGTAACACGCACGCCTCGTTTTAAAATTGTTATGAATTCTCGAGCTATCCTATAATAGATTATGAAAATTTTATAAAATCAATCAATATTCATTATGATGCGTACTTATACGCAATATACTAAGTATAAAAGTAAAAATTAAAAAGTTTTTTTTTGTAGACCGTTTTTTGTCTACATTATCATATAAGTATTTTATTAAAAGATAATTTCACTGGATCTATTCGATATGATGAGTCGTATCAGTTGATACCGTTGATCATAAATCATTTGTGTTCTAGTAATATTTGTTCAATTACGTATTTTACTGTTATCTCGTATATTTCACGGAAGTATTTGACCTTTGAGGCGTTATCTTTAGTACGTTAAACACTATGATATCTACATATTTTAATCGACGATGTATTGACTATAGTCAATGCACTATGGTATATTTTTTTTTAATCTAAAAGCATTTAGAAAAAAATAAAACTATTTACATAGTTCTGAAGAATGTTTAGTTCGTAATGCCGGTGGTTAACGATAATTTATAATTAAATGTGTCTCGATTGGTCTGTATTTTTTGCAGGAAGAACATTATGAATTATTTAGCAATTATTTATTTGATTGAATATTATTTCAATGATATTTTTATGGACATTTTTGTTAAGTATCGATATTTTTTTTCTACATTAAAATGCTCTATTAATTGAAATCAATAATCTTTATGAAACATTCAATCAAATATTTTCTAATTTTTACTTCCAATTAAATGTATTCTATCGTTTGTGGCTATATTGCTGTTAAATATTTAAGTCAATCACACATTATATACTATTACTCTAATTTCCATTTAATTTTTATTTTATAATTCCATTATGATCTTTTAATGTCAAAATCAATAAGTAACTAGTACACAAATAAATACCTTATATTTGGTTTATTAACCTATACGAGTATTAACGTGAAAATTCATAACTAATCTAAGCGAATCAAATTAAGAAACCCACCTATGTGTTACAAAACACTACTGATGTAGTCCTAAAAGAAGTCTCGAGTATACGCTAATTGTAAGTAAAAAGGGTGAATGGAATTAATTCCTACCCCTATCCATTTTTTTTTTGTTTATGAGCAAGAAGAGATTAGCCAATAAAATAAATATACGATTTTAAAATTAATCAAATATAATTTAAGACTATTGTAGCGGTGCAACTGTTTTTTAAACCATATTTCCGTGCAATAAAATAAAAAATAGATGTATAAAATGTAAAAATTCTGGCCACACCCACCAAAAATATAATTATTCAGTTTTCACTAAAAATATTCACGTTTAATTTCCTTCTCATTCTTCTCAAAACCCTAAAAAAAAGTACGAAATGACTCTTGGTATTATTTTCCACGTAATTTTGTCTCCTGGCAGTGATCTTTCTCCATCCCTAACTCTTCTTATTCCGGGAACTAGACCAATCGTTTCCTTTTCTCGATTCGTTTTGGTCATAATCTTCTTTCTAATCATTAATTTCTCCTTTCACTTAATTCTTCTCCCCTTTGCACCTTCCACACGCACGAAGTCATATACGATTTATATCATATTATTTTTTCATGTCCTCTTTCTTTTCCGCGATTTATTATTCTGCAAACACTCCTCTCTGGACTACTCTTCCCTTGGTGTAATCCTTCTCAATTCACGTTTTATTTTCCTCATCTCACTTAGCATCAATTTCATTCGCTACGCAAATTTCCACATCTAAATTATTTCAATTTATTTCAATTTATTGTTAAATATCTCACTCATTTTTATACAACACAAATAATTTTTAATCACTATATTGTCACAAAAAAAAACCATGATTGTCAAACTATAGTATCTTTTGTATAGAAGCAATAAAAATAAAAATAAATATTCATAATAAACGAACGATTTCCTAATAAGAAAATATGTTTTGTTTTTTTTGTAAAAAAAAAAAAATGTTAAATTTGTTAATACTCGTAGCCATAAAGTTTATAGTATGTATTGCCAGTACACTATAAACTAGTATAGTACGCGTATACCTGCGTATCATAAATTACACTATAAGTATGTCGACGGAAAAACGGAGAAGTCGTCGTACGCAGTCATACATTCCGCAACGTTACAGCAGAAACACGTGTTGGAAAATGTTGTCTTTACATAATCCGCTTTGCTCGTAAAAAATAAAATTAAAATATCGGAAGATTCAATGCAGTTCGCTCCGTTGACCTTTCCGCGGGATTGTTTCGTGTTCTGCTTATGGCAAATGATTTTCACAAACGAAACGCAAAACCAAATGTCCAAATACAGTAGGATCCGCTTAATTCCGGATAAAACGATTCCTAGCCATGTATTTGATTGGTTTTATATCTCACATAGGCAATGTTTTCGGATACAACGGATTTCGGATGTAACGATATGATTTTTTAAATCCCTTGAAGATCGTCGTAAGCGGATTCTAGTGATATGAATTGTATATTTGTTTTCGCGTCCGTGATTCGGCGGTGCACGAATGATGCTGCGTGATAATGAAATTACTCACGATCTCCACGACTTTGATGAGGAACGGCGAGGCGGCCAGCAGGGATTCTTTGAGCGACTTCTCGTTGGCCATGTTCACGCTCGTTATCGACTGCACACACCGTATCGGACAACGTTGGTGCTGCTTCTGCTGCTGCTGTTGCTGTCGCCGCGTATACTGCACACGCACACACCTCTACTGCAGGGGCGCGAAACGGCTTAATTGGAACTAATGGGACACGAATTAACCGTGCACAACCTCTACCTTCGGGATACCTCGGTATACGGCAGTGTACCACTCCCTCTCGCAGCAACAGCAGTAGTAGTAGTACCTCACCGCTCCGCGTAACGCGTCATTATCGGTTTGTTTATATATAAATATTTTTTTATTTTTTTTTATCACGCGCTAGTTCTTAACCATTGCGTTCGGCTAAACGCGAGCGTACACCTATAGGTCGGTGGAAGCGGTTAGCCCGACGTTACACCCGGTTCGGCTGGTTTTCGGTCCGCATAGGCGCGCGCGCGCATGTAAACCGTGTCGGTGCGAACGTCGCCCGGCGGGCCGCGACAAACGCTTTTCATCCGGTCTGCCGTTTTCCACGGTTCCGTTCGTTGCGTCCGCGGTTTTCCCGAAACGAATCGATTGGACTCGTTACGAAGGCAGCGGCGGCACGTACCGTATTTCCCGCGTACGTTACGAGAAAGCAGTAAAACCTGTTGACGGGAACGACTGTCGTCGCCGCGCACTAATTATTCGCCGTCCTATCGAAGGCGGCACGTAATACCTGAGAATCCTGTGCGCACCACGTAACCACCGGTCGTCGACGGATTCGCATGTCGATACCCTCCGCCGTCGTATCCGTTCGTAATGTTTATCGACATTCCGATTTCCAAGGACTATTGAAATCGGTGTTTTTTTTTCTTCCCGTTTCGTTTTCGAATCGCGTTACCGTGGTTAGCGTTCGGATCCCGTCGACAGAACCGGCTCAAGGTATAGGCGAATTAAGCATCTGCCTAGAGCGGCACTTTAGTAGGGCGGCATTTTCAAAATTGACTCGTACATTTTTTTTTAGTTCTATCGGTGTTTTATAAGAAAAATAATTCAAATAATTCATTCGTGAAAACCACTTAATAAAATAATATTGTCTAAAGTTATTATATTACGGCCTACTCTGGGCGTTTTCAATTATTCCAAAAATATAAATAACCACACAATCATTTCCGCGATTTCCGATAGTCGCGATAGTGATGGGTTTTGAGTAATAATTATTGAAAACATTTTTAAGTCTTTTAACATATAATTTTATACATGAAATATAAAATTAAATTTTTTTTATGTAGATATGTCACATAAAAATTGGGGAAGGGGCCAAGTTAAAATAAGAGCTCATTTTTTTTTTTCGAGGCGGCAATATTTGATTTTGTCTAGTGCAATATTTTTGCTTGGGCCGGCCCTGCCCGCCGTCGATGATGATGATGATGATTTTTTTTCTCCTCCGCGTACGTTCCGTCGATTACAAAATAACAGTTCGTTTTTGTTTTGTATGTCATTCGCCATCGTGACGAGAAAAAAAATAATCACTTTTACCGCGTGTGCAATAACGAAACGGATTATTTAATCCGATACGTTTTACTTTTCCTGCTACTTCGTTATAATTAGCGAATGAAACAACGATTTTCTCGATTACGAACCGTATACATTTTGGTAAATTTGGTTTAAATTTAAATCTCGCTCCAGTCCTCGTAATCAACTTTTGAATCAATTAAAATGTGTTTTTTTTAACGCACGACCGAAGAAAATGATGTGTAATTGAAATTTTTAATACATGTATTTGTGTATCTTCTCTTTTTTTTGTAGAAAAATCTGTATCTATTTTCAACATATCCGTTCGAAATATTTGTTTTTCCTACGAACTTATACTTACTCAGTATTATACGTGTGTAGGTAATAAATACTTAGCGGAGTACATTGAGAACTACCCTTGACCACTCACTTCAGTATGAGTTATTGTTTTATAAAGCACAGTGGCGGACGCAGGGAGGGGTTTTGGGGGTTCAACCCTCCCTCCCCTCGAAATGTATGGATGATTAATTTCAAACGTAGTTATCCTACCTTGAAAAAAAATGAATTGTTCATAATACAATTAAAATAAGTTAGAAAAAAAATGTTTTGTTAAGAAAAGTGAATTTGTAATAATTTGTAATTTTCCAAACGTTCTGAAAGGTATTGGTACTTAAAACTCAAATTTTTGAAATTCCATGATGGAAATACTTCGTAAAAATAATGCATGTTTGTAAATCGCTTATTATCAGTAAGTAATGTACATTATGATTGACGGATTTCCCTAAATTGTGTGTTGTATGGTCATGTGATAACGATCGACAATAGTCAATTATTTCAAAATAACGGTAATTAGGCCCGTATTTAGAGAGGGCACGGGTAGGCACATGTCTGGGGGCGTCAAGTCTTAGGGGTGGCAAAATATTTTAGCAAAATTAATTTTAAAAATTATGTACCTAATAAAAAAAAATAAAACAATAAAAAAAGAAAATAGTATGTTTTATTATGTTATAATTTGTTTAATTTATTAACTAAAAAAAGTATTAAACGATTTTCATTTATAAGTTATATTTTAATATTAAAGAATCTCGATTATGGACGAAATAATATGTGTTTATTATTATTATTTATTTTTTTTTTGGGGGGTGGGATAATAAAACAATATGCCCCGGGGCGCCATATTTGTAAATACGGGTCTGATGGTAATTGTTCTTATTTTTTCAAAACCCCTCGAGATTTTTTACTGCGTCCACCCCTGATAAAGCAGCATGGCTGCTAGATCAATGAATCAAAATAAAATATTCTGAACGAATATGTACATTGCGTAGTGTGCGTTAAAATGTAAAATTATGTATCTTGACAGCCTAGTATACAAGTGTAGTAAGTAATGTTAAAAATATTGTTCAGTGCAGTCATTTGAAATTTTACATTCCAATAAAAATCGAAGTAGCCTAATTTTGGGTTTGAGTAGTATGAGTTTTTATTTGTTACCTATTTTCTACTATAATTATGTTATTGGACGTGTTTGAAAAGTATTAATCATCGTATAGAGTACTTAATTAATTTTCGTCAAAAATGTTACTACTATCACACTAATTATCTTCTAGGTCAGTCGTTTCCAACCGGGGTGCCGCGAACTTAAATTGAGGGTGCCGTGAAATTATTTGAAATATAATTTTAAGAAAAAACGTTTTCATGAAAAATAAAACGCTTTGAGCAATATCACAAACTATATTATAAAACCTATTGTATTTCATATAATTTGTACTAATACTGCGATTAATCTGTTTTAATTTTCAGACCAGTTTGATCGCTTCGATAGCTTCGAAGTTACAAAATATAAATATAAGTACATATACTGCTATTGAGTATAGACTTTATAGCAGAGGTTCCCTAACTGTGGGTCGCGATTATATTTTTAGTGGGTCGTGTTATATTTTTTATGTGTTTCTATTACTTATGGTTGATGTTTAATTATTTAGTTAGTTTCATTATTAATTGTTATTTGCGTTTGTGATAGTTACAAATTTACTGCGATCAATAGACATAATAATATTTCTTTATATGTCTATGCTCGACTGTGTCAACACAACGCAATTGAATTTATGATTAATGAAAATATAGCAATATATTTGAAAAAAATTAGCACCTGTATGACGTTCAGATAAATTGATTACTTTCAGTAACAAACGGTACATTGAATATAATACATGCACGCAGTTTAAATCTTACTATTTTTCAAATAACCAATAAATTATAATTAACAATAACCAATAGCCCTAGCTTTTGAATAAAGTATTTATGGAAGTAATTAACACCTAAAACATTTTTAATACAACACATAGGTATATCGTATATTGCATACTTAATTACAATTTATAATAAAACATATACTTTTAACATTTTATATTTTAAATATACATAACACATTTTTAAAGTTGTAATCTTCTGTTGGATTTAGCAAAGGTGTTTAATATTATTTCAGTATCTACTGTAATATCTTTTTCGATATTTAATATTGCTAAATTAGTAAATCGGTCCTGAGTCATGTCAGCTCGGACATATGTGTTGATCCTTCTCATAGTTGAAAAAGACCTTTCGTAGTCGAACTCACGGGTAATGTGTTTGCCGCTTGCATAATTTTATATAATTTAGGAAATATCTTGCTTTAGATGATTTTTGATATTTTCAAAATTAACTTCCTCATCATATTTTTTAGTACATTCATTTCACTTTTTAAGATGGAACAATCAATATCAAAAGTATCCTGTACACAAATATAGTACAAATGAAAACAAAATAGTTTAAAAAAAGTATTTGTCAAATGGAATTCATAAATCATAATTCATAAATATTTTTTAAATACAAGTTATAACGTACTTTATAAAAATCAATCACAAAAGAAGATTGTTGAAAATTTAATTTAAATAATCCATCAACTGCTGTTGCAATTTTTAAACTCTCCTCTGAAAATCGGGTACTCAAACTAAATATAATTGCATCTAATATTGGATAGTAAGCATGCTCCTCCCAATATTTTTACTTTGTTGAATCATCTTCGTTCAATGAGTTTTCAGCAGCAGTTGTGACAGTAACATAGTAGTCATTGAGAGTTTTTGTTTCCATTCTTCGCCTTTTAGAACCTGTTAAAAAAGGGCCTTAGGGACTGTGTTTAAATCACTCAAGTCTAAAACCGGCGAATTTGAGTCTACCAAATTTATACTCGCAATTGGAACTTCAATATTTTTTGTAGTTGTTTCAACTAATACTGATTCGACTTCAATCTGTTGAGTTTAATGAAAACTAGCAGAAGTATTTTGCTTTTTTTTTAATTAAATATACTGAACATATTATTTCTTTTACGTTTACAACACTCACAAACATGAAACACGCAAATACTTTATACATCAACTGTGGTTTTATTTGGATTTCCCAAATATTCTATTTTTAACGAAGGTGCGTTTAACGCAAGAATGCACGTGCCCATAGACATTCACAACTCAGTTATACAGTCTCATAGTGATAACTGATAACCTATTACATAATAGTATACTGAGTATAGCCCGTGTAGACGTATAAATAGCCAAATATCAATATGAGCTTTAACCATAGACTGCGTAATAAGAATGCTTAGTATTATACTATTATTAGTTATTGCCCCTATTGGTATGTTATGTATTATGGATTAAGTCTACATTGTCCTACGATGTACAATAATAGTAAAAATAATACCACAACGAATTAAATTTCTTCATTTACGAATTACATAATCTTAAAAATACGAACACGAATTTTACATCATAAACTATAATAATATACTAATAAAGCTTAAAAAATGTAGGAAATGTTTGGGGGGCTATTGAAATGTTTGGGGGCTTAGCCCCTAAAGCCCCTCTATTTGCGCCTATGAATATTATTAATTATTTTATTAATTGAATATTATTACCTTAACTGTTTATTTTTACAATTATTAGAATGACATTTCAAATTACATTTTTTCCCTACTAAAAATATATGGTTATTTTATTTGATAATTTTTATCAGAATTACATCCAATATAAATACATGTAGTACATAACTGTTGTCACCTAAACTAGTTATTTTTTTAATTATTGTCGGAATGACATTTTGAGTTGAGTTTTTTTCCTGCTGCCTACATGTATACAATTACATCAATCAACCGTATTCACCTAAATTTGAGCATTTCTTTGCTGCTTCTCTAAATGTAATTTTTAGATTAGGCACATCCTCTACAGTAACGAATTTTTCTTTGCACGTAGTAAACTAGTTGCGACTATATGTGTGTTCTAATTTTCCTTCTGTGGTTATATATATATATATATACTATGTCTGTAATTAGTTTATATACAAGTCGCAAAGTAAATGTTTGTCTAAAGTTAAACATCATGTCGTACGATCGTCTTCGTTTATAGTGCAATCAGAATAAGTACTTATAGTTAGTCTCTGTATGTAATCATAGAATTGGTATTCAAACGTTTCGGTATCCATAACGTATGCCATGTTTTTCAAACCGTTGTTTACAATGTATAAGCCTACCTACAAGAGCTCATCTCTATTGTTTAATATAAAATATTTTTATTATTCTTATAAGACTTAATTTTATTTGCTGTGTCGTAAATATATCTAAACAACAGTGAAAATGAATCTACGATGATTGTTATTATCTATTTTTATCATTATAGAAATATCGATACATAGTAATATTTTATTCACGATTTTGTGCTTATGTGAAGTGACGAGACTTGAAAGTATTTATTTTACCATCGTTTTATTACAACTTTTAAAATGATGTATTAATTGTTCTATACATTTATGCAATGCATATTGTCAGGGAGTTTTTATCGTGATTAATATAATATATATTTCTTACGTCAGAAAAATATTAATATTTTTATTATGTCGACTTTATGACATTTTAAATGTTATTTAAATATAATTGTATTTATCATTCATATATGTACTAATATTCATAATCAAGGCTCGGAACTTTAGGCATTTGCATATTTGTCTAAAAAGTGCATATTGAAATTCTGATTCGATACAAATTCGATTCATAGTATGTATATTTCAGATATAAAAAATTTTGTTGCATAATTTTGCATATTTTGTTACTTTTTGTACCAATTCGTATATTTTGGGTTTAAGAACATTTATATGCATATTTCATGGATTTAACAAAATTTTTAAAAAAAAATATATAGTTTAATAATATAATATAAGATATATAACAACAAAAATTCTAAGTGTTATATCGTTTGACAAAATAAATTAATTCATCAACGGCTATTATTTGTATTGTTCCGGCTCCCAATGCATTTAACAATAATATTATAATCTTTATAGTACCGAGAACTCGTAATAGTGACCACCGCCGGCCCGTATTTATTTTTATACAAATTTACCAGTGTATTAATATTTTTAACATGACAAACAAATTGTATAACCATAGGTAATTCGTAAACAATTATCTAACTTAATGTATCAGCTTATACACAATATTATTTTTGTTCGTTATAATACTGCATACCTATATTTGCATGCAAACGACTTCATTGTACAGTGTACACTAGTCAGTAGTCAGTTTATTATTTTTTAAGTAATTATTTTCCAATTTTTTACTGCATATTATATCGCATATTTTAGTATTTTTTAGCGCATAAAATTCCGAGCCTTGTTCATAATTTATTGAAATATCAAATAGTGGGCTCTTCAAAAAACATGATAAAATAGGGGTGAACAAAATCATACACAAATGTTGGGCCAATGCTCATTAAATATGTTGGCCATTTTACCGGATGTTTGACATAACAGTAGATATTTCCATAAGTTGAATTTCTAAAACCGATAGGATCTTATTCACGTATGTTATCGTTAACGTCGTATTTTGGATAAGAAATCGGATTTATCGCGTCAAGAGAAACTGAGGTTAAGCGTACGAAAAAATATCCATAAACTGATTTAAAACAAAACCAGTCGCATTTTATTTTAATTTCTATAGCAGTACAATAATAGTATTATGGGTAGGTGTGACTACAAGATTAGATATTTACAAAATACTTGTACGCACGGTTAACTAACAAGGTGTGAGTAAAAAAATAAAAATAAATAATCATTATGGAATATTATAGAATGAGTTATGTTTGAACATAGAATTATTTATAAACACACACAACGAACACGTGTTGTCTGTACTCCGTGGTAGAGGTAGGGCGCATAGAGGTTCCGGTTGAGCTTAATATTACGTGTAAAATCGAAAACTGTATGTGCGTGTGTCGTCCACGAATAAAAATCGTCGAATTCAAACTATTAACTATAACGATATTGGGATCGTCGTGGTCGGTTTCAGTCGAACTCCATCTCCCTCGCGAAGTGTATGAACGACAGCACGGTGTCCACCAGGTACACGGCTCCTGACAGCACGCACATCACACCCACCGTGATGCCTATAGCCCTTTCGGAAGTCACGCTGATGTATTTGTTCTCGTTTTGATAGCCGATCCAGTAGTGCAGCGCTATGCCGCCCACGGCGATGAACATAAACATGCCGACGAAGTTCATGATGATGTCCTGCGCAGGAGTGAAAAATTAAAAACACGAATCCACTTGTTGGACCGCTACAGGATCACCGAGATATCGTGATATGCGCTCGCGCAACCTTTTAGGGTAAATTGCAGACTTTTTATCGGTCGATAGTTCGGTCGGGCTGCGCTGCTAGCGCGCACGCTAGACGAACTAAACAGTCTCTGGTCGGCCGATTAATGCTTTCGTTAATTTCGCTAGTCGGTACAATGCTACCGACGGAAATAGTCGTGTGGAAATATTTATTTGAAATGTTATCTAGAATTTAATTATTGATTTTATGTAGCGGCGAAGAAGGACGAAGAAGAAACGAAACCGATAATTTTAGTTGCTTTCTATTTGTACGCTGATGGTTATAACAAGGCAATACGATGTATTTGTACGATGCATTCAAAATGACTAAATTTCCAAAAAATAAAATTTGTTTGAATATTATCAAATGAATATAAACAGCTTTCATGAATTTAAATGAACTCTTAAACTAATTGGACCAGTAATCGTGAAGGAAGACACACGTTTAAGACTTTCCATATCTACCAGTTGCAGTGCCTTCTATTCTTTCTATCGGCTGACTAATCAATCGAAATGTGTGCGGGCGATGGGAGAGCGCCACACTGATTAAGCAGTCGGCCGATAGTTCGCCGATCGTTTTTTTTTTCTTAATTCATAAAATTATTGATTTTTAATATATATTTTTTCTGATTTTTTTTTTTTTTTGGGGGGGGGTTGACCCTCCCAGTGAATTCGCCACTGACCTGTACGTATTTTATTTTATGCAAATCGTTGCCGTTTTGATCGGGTCTCGACTATCTTGGTGGTACGTTTGTACGCACGCTGTTTCTGCAAGAGCCGCGGACGTAACACGTGCGGTGCTCGACGAACGCGAGTCGGTAGGAGCCAGTGCCGTAGCCAGCATTTTTTTTTGTCGCTCGGGTGGAGACGTTATCTTTAGTTTTTTCAATGCCTACTTATCGCCTATTACTTAGTAGGACCCCATTGCTTGTGCACAGAAAAAGTGTATGTCTAATTTTTTATTTAATTAACTGTACAGCTGTTTGCAGCTATAGCGTACAATGTACATTTATCATAACAATACCTATAATAAAATGTATGTAAATCACGGATTGAACGGTTTATCAACATCTTCACCTTCGCCTTTTTTCCAACTATTTGGAGTCAGCCACCTTTATCCTAAACCTCCGCTCGTCTTGATTTTCTACATTCCCTACGCACACACCAACGGCCAATTCCTATCATTCTCAATCATATATTTATATCTAACCATCTCTTTTTTGGTCTTCCTCTTTTACCTTCTACGTTAATTCTCAATTCTTTTGTTTTCTCTCGTCTCATCATATGCCCAAACCATCTGAATATATTTTCTCTAATCTTGTCCATTATAGACGCTGCACCAATACTACCTCTCACATATTCGTTCCTTATTCTATCTTTTCTTGACGCTCCACTCATCCATCTAAGCATTCTCATTTCCGCAACGCTCATATTCTCTGTTCTATTCTCCTGTCAACCACCCAACACTCTGAACCATATAGCATAGTTGGTCTCACTACGCTTCTGTAAAGTTTATCTTTCAGTCTTAATGGAATTCTTTTATCGCATAAAACGCCCGACGCTCCTCTCCATTTCATTCAACCGCAATTAATCCTATATTTTACATACATGCTAAGACCTCCGTCTTTTTGTACAAATGATCCTGAATATTTAAAGTTCTCAACTTCACCTATCACATCTCACTTATTATTATAAATAATTTATTAAATAATTTATATAAAATAATCGTGTTAAAAATTAGACATGTGCCCCCCCCCTTGACTACGACACTGGTAGGGGGTATATTGTATAACTTTACTTACAACTAACGTCTTCTTCTGGTGATTGGACCCGAACCCGTACGATATCAGTATCACGGTGGTGTAGATGAAGAACCCAATGAACACGCCGGAAGCAATGATTTCCGCGTCCGGGTTTTTCTCCTCGTTCAGATTCCACGTGCCGCCGACTCCCAAAAACCCGCCGCGGTATCCTGTCCGGTACAGCACCAGGATGATGATGTTCAACACCTATGCACATGATATAATAAGTATATACATCGTACGATTAGGTTTTAACCGTCGTAACAGTGTCGTGTATCGTAATTGTTAAAAGCGTTACGAAGGAGAGGGCGCAGCAAGCAAACGTTGCACTTGTGCACGGGACGTCGACAGGACGAGTTCGAACCACCGGTCGCGAGGGATTTATGGAAACACGGTTTTGAACGTGGACGACTTGGCGTGCGTGAAAACGAGGAAGTAAACCGGATTCGCACGGGGAACACTCACCAACTTGACGACTTTGATGACCACCGTGCCTACGCTCGCGATGTTCACCATGGCGAACGCAAAGGTTCAAACGTTCGTGACGACGGTCTTGCGACGATCCGCGCGTGTGTATTTTTATATCGGGACAGATCCCAACCGCGGCGTGTCGATTATCAATGTAAACGTGCGGTCCGTTGTGCGTTGTTGCTCGTTGCACTGAAGTTTCTTCGAGTCCGACCGATGTATGTGCTGCGTACCGCCCGTCGATTTCGATGACTCGGACGCGACAGAACCGAACTTTCCCTGCCCCCGTGCGACGTTCGTCCGTTATCTTTACCGCGGTAAAATTGTCACACCGGTGTATACACCACACCCCGGTTGCACACCGCTTGCGGCCAATCCGGTACGTGTGTACACCGCGCGTAGGCGTTGGCTTTCCGAAGTCTCGCACACGCGACGGGTGGGCACTCGACAGACGCGTACACCGAGGGGACCAGATTAGATACGGGTACTCCATGGTAACTCTGGTAACCGGCGGGCGTAGTAGAGTGCAAACACGTGGCAGAGGTGAGTAATGTTTGCGCTCAGAAACTGATGTGTTCCGGAGTTTTCAGTAGATTGTAATAAGTATAATGCATACATATGCGTATTATGCTTATCGATTGTTGCCGCGCCCACGGCAAAATATTTTTTACGCGTTGTTGTTGTATTTCGTGTCGGGTTTTTTATCGCTCGAAAACGATACGGTTGTAACGTTTACTTTCCTGCGGTACGCAACGTGATAACACTTTAAATATTTACGTTTATCCCGTGTACGCCTTATACTACCTCGTTACGCCGATAATATGTACTAATAATATTTCATGTGCAATATTGTAACATGTTAAGTAAAAAAGTATTTCTACGGGTGAGTCGTTTCGGATTTTTCCGGGTTAGCTGCATGTATATGTATGGCATATAGAAGTAACTTGATTTCCTTAATTTTTTTAATTCGGAAAAAAACGTTGTGTACACTGAAAATTTAAATATTGTCTATACAGGAGCAGGGCCGGATTTTGGGCGTCGAAATATATGAAGAACAGCAAATATATTGTACCGAACAAAAAATAAATATATTTTATTTATTCTAATTTTGTATAAATCGCGTATTAAAAATTGTTTTGGTTTTGAGAGTACAATTGTTGTGTATATTTATTTGTAATACATCGGTTATCATTATGCTAATTATATAATATGAGTATATCGTCGCAAAACTTTATAGGTGATGTTATTTTAAAAAAAAAAATTGTGTTTTTTATGTGCTATGTTGTTTATAAGCTTTAAATTAATAATTATTATTTAATCAATATTTTCTTATTGTTTTCCTTTCAATTTATAAAAAAAAAATTTTCATTAATTCAATTTTGCCTTTTTTTCGCGGTAGAAAATGATTGGGTCTTAGGGTGAAGGAGCATCAAATTATAATGGGGCCTATTTGGCACTTGTACTAAATTCGACCTTATATGGAAACAGAAGTTGACTTGGTTTTTTAGGCGGCATGTGTTAGCGTATAATGTATATATATATATATATATATAGTATCTCTAATCCAATGTGTATATTATTAACATTTTGTCTAACTGTCAACATGTACGTTTTTAGGAATTGGGCTTGGACATAACCGATCAACAGCTAAAGGAACTGCAGGACAACGTGAACAATGTGGACTTCGTGGCGGCGGCCAACGAAGAGAAGCTCACCCGACACGATATCATGGCTCACGTGCACACGTATGCCACTTGTTGTCCGACCGCAGGGCCCATAATTCATTTAGGTGCCACTTCGTGCGATATAGGAGACAACGCTGTAAGTTCCGACTGGCATGCCCTACATGATTATTAATGTATAATGGATTGGTAGCATTGCGCTTCTTAACTCGGTCGATAGATGTTTGATGAATAATTTAGGGTAATTTCGAGTGAAATTGAGTACGTTTTTATTTTTTTTTATCGAATTCATATACTCATATCTATGTACAATGATTTGTTTTCTGAACTTCTTGGTAATTCTTATAACTTTTCATCAGTTAGATATAAGTATGGATCTAATACAGTTATAATATATTATGTTCAAATATTTATCTTATCCATTCAATAAATTATTACGCAAAATTAAACTTTTTTCGTGCTCTCCCGTAAAATACAAAAAAAATAAATTCACAATAACTCATATCGCCTTTTTTTTTTTTTTTTGTTTTGTAGGATCTAGTGGTATTGAGAGATGCTTTTGATATTTTATTACCAAAACTTGCTGGCTGCGTGAAAACTTTAGGCGAATTTGCTGACAAACACAAGTCATTGCCTACTTTAGGTTTCACACATTTTCAGTGAGTATACTTTTCTTAACAATAAAATATTTCACGTATTCTTGTCGTAATTAAAAGTACTACATTAATAGTTTAACTTTTCAGGCCTGCTCAGTTGACCACTGTTGGCAAACGAGCATGTCTCTGGCTACAGGATTTGATTATATGCGAAAAAAATATAAGCCATGTTCGTGCTAACTTAAAATTCCGTGGTATCAAAGGAACCACTGGTACCCAAGCATCTTTCTTACAACTTTTCAATGGTAATTTATCCTTTTCTATACATATTTCATGTTTTGTTATAATTTACCCATATACTAATGTATTTAAATAAAGGTGATTATTCAAAAGTCAGAGAATTGGATAACAGGGTAACTCAGCTTGCTGGTTTTCAATCTTCTTATTCAGTTACTGGTCAAACATATCCTCGAATCGTAGATGCAGAAGTTGTTTCATCTTTGAGTGTTCTTGGGGCTTCTGTCCATAAAGTACGAGTTTTGATCTAGTCTTAAAATCTAACAATAGTGTTATTAAAAATTTTTTATTAAATATAATTTATTTATATTGTATAGATGTGTACAGACTTGAGGTTGTTAGCTGGTATGAATGAAATCGGTGAACCTTTTGAACCGACTCAAATCGGTTCAAGTGCCATGGCTTACAAACAGAATCCCATGAGAAGTGAAAGGGTTTGTTCTATTGCTCGCTATTTAATGAATTTAGTAAATAACCCTTTGACAACTGCATCGGTGCAATGGTTGGAACGTTCATTAGATGATAGTGCAAATAGGTATATGTTACATTTTTATTTTTACCAATATTTTTTTTTGTCAATGGATTTATTAACTATTTTTTTGATATTTCAGACGTTTGTGTTTATCAGAAGCCTTTTTAGCTGCTGACAGTGTATTGTTAACATTACAAAATATTCTTGAAGGGTTAACTGTGTTCCCAAAAGTCATAGCAAAAAATATTGACAAAGTACTACCTTTTATGGCTACAGAAAATATAATTATTGCAATGGTCAAAATTGGAGGAGATAGACAAGTAAATAATTTAAAAATATAAATAAATATTCTTGTTCCTGTAAAATATGAAAAATGAAAATTGTATTCACAATTTATTATTATTATTTTTTGTATATATTTAAATTACTGTTTATTGTATAGTTTTATTATATTATTATATTATTAGTTTTATAGAATCATTTTAAAATTGTTTTGTTTATTATGAAATCTCTTAAAACAGTATATTATATTAGTTTTAATTTACAGACATAAAATATTAAAAACGTATTTCGTAGTATGTAAAACCATTTTGTCTTAAATAACTGCTGAAAACTATTTTTTAAATTTCATCAAAGTAAAATATGTTATCTCAAAACTTAATTATAGTATACTTTGAAAGTTTGGTTTTGTTTAGTATTTTTATATTAATTTAAAATTAAGCTCAGAGGGAAACTATTTTTTTTGACATTTAAATAAAATGCTTTTCTTACATTATTGAAACTCAAAAATAGTTATACATGTTTCTAGATGATTTATTTTATGTTATATGCGTATCAGACTGAAAAATCAAAAAAATGTATTATGTTCCCATTTAAATTTCAATATGAAATTAAACAAATTACAGGTTTGTCATGAAAAAATAAGAGTTTTATCATTAGAAGCTGCTAGTACAGTTCGCATTGAAGGCAAAGACAATGATCTTTTAGACAGGGTTATAAAAGATCCATATTTTGCTCCAATATTAGATCAACTACCTCAGCTTTTAGAACCATCCACATTCATAGGATGTGCTCCAGATCAAGTAAATGAACAATTAATTAGTTTTTTTTTTTTGTTTCATTAATTTTACTAACACATATTTTGTTGTATAGGTTACATATTTTTTGAAAGAAGAAGTACAGCCTGTAGTCAATAAGTATATAACTAAGATCAAAACGACTGCTACAAAATTGGATATTTAAATCACAGTACTACTTAATGTGTACTTTAATGAAGCTACAGAGAAAATAATTGAAATTATTTCTTTACTTTAATTATAAATTAATAGATTCAGTTGTTCATGTTAGATTGAAACATTTATTAGTAATAAATTCATTATTTCAAAATTAATTTTTAATTAATCATATTATATATTTATAATTAAAGAATATGTATAATTCGTGTAAATAAATATACATATTTTTTAAGTGTAATTTTTACATTTAAAAAAAGTAAATCATTTTATAGATCTATTATTCATTATAAGCTAAATAAAACGAAATCAATTAAATTGAATTATAATTTAATAATTTTCATAATGTTTGTTAAATTGTAATACAATAAACCTATGAAGAAAATATAAATTATTTGATTATATTTTCATTGTATAATTGTTATTAACAATTAATATTAATTGGTTTATTTGATTTGATGTTTTCATGCATTAAATGCAACATCAACCACCTCATTTAATTATTTATCACCGTTCATAATCATTATACATCACTAAAAAAAAAAAAAAATTAAATTAATAACTATATAGTTAATCTAACTTGTGTGCATTAAACGTTTATATTTTATTTATATTAAATAATTATTCTCATTTGATTTTATAAAATTAAAATGTTAATTCAATATCTATTATAATAACTATTATTTTTAGAATTACATTTTTTTTTTTTGTTTTCCCTACAATCACATTTCCTGTAGGAGTCACAAGCCCTTTTTTATTTTATAGTTTAAATGTTTAAAAATATAAAAATAATAATTTAACTTGCAAATTTAAATACAATTACTGAAATAAACCATAATATCTAATTCTATAAATTATGTGAAAAATTAGAAACTAATATTCAAATTAATAGATGGCGCTGGGTGTCGTTGTTGACCATATGAAAACATTCGGGTTCCACTGATAATTCGTTTCCAGTCCTGTATTTCATATATTGTGACTGTATATTTTCCGTTTCCCGCCAAAATCGTAATATGTTTGGTCGCTATCTTTTCTCTAGAAACCCGTCTACTACTAGTATTATTATTATCTGGACTATATTATATTTTGTAATTGAACTCATTGAAACCGTATCATATTGTTCATCGGAAATATCACCTCTGCTCTTCGCGAAAACCAGCTACTCTCGACGTCGTTGCGGTGACCGAGTACGTATTTCAGAGTCCTTTCGGTCGCCGTGTGTACCTAACCGGCCTAGGTCGTATCGATTTCGTGCACCGATATGACCGAAACGGCAAGATTGCGAAGGCTCATAGTCAGCACCTTCTCGCTCAACGGCCTTACGATTCAAGAGTGAGTAATCAAGTCCACTGCATTGTTCTCAATCAGCAGACTTGGGTAAAATACTGTTAAAAGTATTTAGAATAAATACTCGAATACTTGCATAAAATAGTATTCCGAATATGTATCAAATACTTTATATAAATTTTATTCCGATTACAATATTTAGAATACTTCAAAAGCATTCCGAATACTTTTAAAATACTTCTAGTTTTGATACTATAAAAATAATAGATGTCCACTCAACAGAAATATTTGACTTTGTAGACTAAATATATGTTATTTTATTGTATTTTTATATTACATAACTTATAATTTATGGTTTATAACAATAATAAATACCTGATATTAGCTTATACAAGATACAACGAAGAAGTAATAATCATTTAAAAAAGGGATGATTTAATTGTATTCGAAATATAGTATTCAGAATACTTTATTGAATACTTTCAAAAAAAGTATTCCGAATATTGTATTTGGAATACTACCCAAGTCTGTCAATCAGTGCACATTGAGCCAGGGGTGGGTTTTATCACTTACCAAGGGATGGACTAATGGAGGTTCAAGAATTTAGTTAGTTGTTTTTTAAATCTGTATAAAATTTTAAATTACAGAATATGTTTTTGAGTCCCTCATTAGTAAATCATTTTTTTCATAATAGTTACAAATTTTAAATAGTTACATTATTGGTATCAATTTTAATCTGAAACCATTTTAAAAATATAGTTATACATATATAATTAACAACAAAAATGAACGATTTATTTATAAAAAATATATAAAATAGGTACCATATTCATCAATGACGATTGCTGATATTTTTTAATAATTATTAATATATCAATATATCATAATACTTGGCTTTGTAAAATAGTTTAGTCCCAAAGGGAGATTAATGCCCCCTTAGCCATCTCCTTAAACCTGATCCTGTATTGAGGGACTGTAATCATACGCTTTGTAATGTATACCACAAAATATTGTAATTCTGGAGTCCAGACTAAAGATTTTAAAGTATACTCTAATCTAAATTTTCCTAATAATAGTTCACTATTTACATCCTATTAAGAATATAAAACTAGATTCCATATGTTGCCAATAATTGATGACTTATGACAAGTATGCACATAGGTATAATCATTCAATGAATTATGTATGTTTAATTTTTTTTTCTTATTGATATCAAGTACTTACTATTTTGTTATAGTTATTATTTAAGTACAAGTATTTAGATAATTTATACTTTTATCAAATTACAGCTCTGAATTACATGGTACCAATTATGAACTCTTATAAAGTGGATACATAATATATACATATATTATGTATATTTGTGTAGTATTATTTTTATGATCTAATTAACTTTTTGTTTAAATTTGTATGTTCTATCTCAAGAAAATCATGTGCTCATTTAGCCCAACAGTTGGGACCATTAGAGACTACAGAAGAACGTGACCAATGGTTAGAGAAAATTGTTGATTATGTTCGCTCTTCGAATACTAATGAAGGAAATATAGTGACTTATGAATTGCTTGTAAAAGCTCTTAAAGTAAGTCAATTTTCACTTAATAATTATCTTATCACACTAAGGTATTTACATAAAAACTACTGTATTTTTAATAGTTCTGTTGTGATCTACAAGTTCTCAATGATGAAGATATATTACGTGTGATTCCTGCTTATAAGCTTCCCCGATACAGATATTGTGCATTAACAAAAAAATTTCTAAGAATATCTTCAGAAACATCCATGTTTGGTAATGCTCAATCAAAAATCTCTCAGTATGTTGATAGGTAAGTAATATAATTTGGTACCTCTTATTAATATGTTCTTTTATTCTTAAATAATTTTTTATTTATTTTCTTAGATATACTGTTATTAGGCAGCGGATGTCTAGAATAAAAACAGTTACTGATGGTACCTTGAATCAACCATTAACAATAGGTGATAAGATACGTGATGTCGATTATCTTTTAAGTTCAGGAGCTGGTTTGAAATTTAATGGCAGTTCAAAAAAAAATCCAATATTGTTGCTGGGTATATTAGTGCAACTGAAAGAAGGAGGTCGCCACTATTTAGAAGATCCTACTGGAGCTATACCTCTTGACCTTTCTAAAACAATATCCTTTTAAGCAATTATTTTGTTTTATCGCAAAATAAAGAATATTATTTGAACAATAAAAACTATCTAAAGCGAATCCTGAATAAAACAAAAATCTATCCAATACGGAATTTTTCTATGGTCCCGGCACGTTTCTATAATTTTATGTAGATGCTGAACCTTAATAAAACGGAATCTTCTTAATGCAGAGATGGAACAATTTTGTAAGTCCCATGCAAGTAAAAACCTTGCATAAATTTGAAATATGACGCACTCGTGTGTACTATAAACCAAAATTAAGGTATAAAATGTAGATAGACGTATGTACAATGTACATCGTTTACAATAGTGATAGATAAAGAAGATAAAATTGATCAATACATATTCATACAATATACTTACATATAATGCATATTATCACATAAACGATACAAACTTTCTTCTTTGTAACTGTGAAACAGTCGTATGTACACCTTTAATTTTATCTTCCATTCATCATATTAAATATTAAAATGCCAAAATATAACACAGAAGAAAAAATATCAGCAACCGTGACATATCAAAAAACTCTTCGTCATTTTTGGAAATTCTAAATATTTGTACGTCATATTTAATTGCCTTAGTATGTAATATGTAATAAAAACCCTATATTTCAGTTTAAACTTAATGAATTGTAAAACCTATATTTTAGTTAAATTTTAATGAATTATATTATTTAAAACAATAATTTGAAAAAATATTCTTTGGTATTTATTTGAATTGAATAATCAGGAATTTTTCCGTTTTATTGAATAAAGCGGAATTTTTTGTTGGTCCCATGCGATTCCGCTTTAGACAGTTTTCACTGTATTTTGTTCAGCAAGTTTATAAATGTTAAGTCTTAAAATTTTACCTAAATGTAAATTTTTAATATTTTTTTTATTTATTAATGCTTCTTTAACTTTGAATAAGATTTTAAAAAAGGCTTTTTTTCTGAGAACTGTTGTGTATTGGCAGAAGGTTATTTTTGTCATGACCGGGAAGTATTTTCTGTTACTGATATGGCTTTACCACCTAGTGAACGTACTGAGATTAGCAAGTAAGAAGTTTTACCTTTGAGCAATATTTTATAATTAAAAATGTAATTTATCATTAAACACACTTTTTTTTAGCGATTTTGTACAGTTTTTTTATTGTATACTATATTTATATTTTTTTTATTAATATTTAATTTAATGAAGCTACTGAAATATTCTGTACATGTTATATTCTATATTTTTACTTTTTATAAACAATTATGTTTACAGACATTTTTTATGATTGCATGATATTATCAATATTTTAATGTTTGGTAAATAGTAAATTACAACTATTTGAATTGTTTTATATAGAATATATTTTGGAGAATCAAACATTTATAGCGATGACAATGATCATAACTTACATTCGTGTAATCCAAAATTATTGGAGTACGAACAACATAAACAACGGATGATTGTATTTGTATGTGATGTTTTTTTAGATGACCCTAAGGTAAGGTATCCTTACTTAAATTTCTTAATAAATTTCAATTATACTAATAAATCATAAATTTTTCATAAATCATTTAATATATGTAATAAATACTAAGAGTATTTAACTTATATTTAATTAGCTAATACTAATTAGCAAATACATTTTTATGTCAAATGTGAATGGTTTTACTAATCTGCACAAAATTATTTATATCTAAAATATGATTATTAATATAGTATTAAAATAATTTTCTATAATAAACAAAATAAATACTTATTAAAATATAATTTTATAAAAATTTACTTAAGTTTAATAATTCTGTGAACTATCAAATATGTTTCATATGCATACCAGTTATCAATTCCAATTTATATTTTTAATTATTATGAACAATTATATCATTTATTTTTTAATATTTAAAGTTTTTTGCTAAATTCCCATATTTATGTATTTGGTATAACTATAAATGTGTACAAATGAACAATATAATTAAAAAATTATGCATAAGTATGTTTTATTAATAAATATTTGTTTTAGGTTGTAAAAAAATTTCATACATTGTTAAATGCTTACAATGAAGTTGGTCCAGTGGCTATAGTAATGATGGGCGACTATTTGTCTTGTCGTGTACCCTCACATAGATATGCTCAAGAGTTAAAAGCTCATTTGAATGAATTGGGGCATTATATTCATGATATGACACCTGTACTTTGCAAGCAAACCACATTTGTATTGTTATCTGGACCTGGAGATCGGTATTGTGGTGCTGCAGGGGCAAGCATCTTGCCTAGGTATTTTAATATTATATTATTAAACTATGTATTTTGAAAACTTAAGTTAATATACTTGGCTTTTCTAAATAAGCATTTTTCAAGTTTTTATTAATTGTTCATTGTTTAGACCAACAATACCTGCATGCTTAACTGAAGAATTTCATCGCCTTGTACCTCGAAGTGTATTCACCACTAACCCATGTCGTTTACAATATTGTACCCAACAAATACACATAATTCGAGCTGATGGTTTAATGAATAAGACAGCAAACTATGATGTCAGGCTTAAATCAATGGATCGAAAGAAATATTCTTCAGTAGCAGAGACTGATGATAATACTGTCAATAATGTAAGTATTCTAAATTCAACTTCTTGCCTATTTGTTTTATATTTTAATATTTATTTTTATTTTTTTGATTTGTTGATGTCTATAAATATCATTTTATTCTGTATGTACAATGATCATTCTGAACACAGTATATAAAAACTTTGGAGAGTCAGTCACATTTGATTACTGTTCCTTTGGACATATGTCCCACATATTGGCCTCTTGCTTCTCACTCGTTAAGTTTATACCCAATGCCAGATTTGGTATGCATTGCAGATGCTAATGCTCCAGAGTACAGTACCAGAAACTCAAATGATCCTAATAGCTCTAATACAAAAATATCATCTTCTGGTTGTGTGTTTTTTAATCCGGTAAGTTTTATTTGAGTTCTGCTTAATATTTAGGGTTTAATATATTATCAAGGGCTTAGTAATTATATTTTAATATATTTGATGAATTCTAGGCTCATGTATTAAAATATAAAAATGTATTAATATTATTCATAGTATAATCATGGTATTTTAAACTGTACTTTTTGGCGCAAGAAATATAAACCTTGAAGAATATAAGGGTTAATTACAATACATTAAAAAACCTAATTATATATTATAAAAATATTTTTAAAAAAATGTAAAAACATATTTTTATTAATTAAAATGATTAACATTATTGAAAGTAATATCAGTTTTAAACAATATGTTTCTTATCTACTATAATCTAAATTTGCATCTTTATTGATATTTTTTTTTTTTTTAATTCACTGCAATTATAAAACGGTGGGGTTTTATAATCCTTATGTCACTCCTTACGTCATTATTAAATAAAGGTCAATTATAATTCCATGTATCATTGTACATACATCAAATTGTGTACCATTTCATTTCATATTCTTATCTAATTATCTAATTATCGATTTATGCTACAATATTATTCCAAAGTTATAATTGTATTTTATGTTTATCTGTTAGCCGAATAGCTAACAACCACATCTCTAAAAATTAAAATAAGAAACTTTCTATTGTAATACTTATCTATATTATAATTAACTATCCTCAATATTTTTATTTTCATTACAATAATTGTGTTTATTTTTCTTATCTTGTTATGTTTTTATATATTAACTGTGAAATTTAACATTATTTTAATTGTTGAACTTTAATAGTTTATACTAAAAGTTCTAAAAAAAAAAAAAGATTTTTTTTTGAATTTAAATAATTTTATATTACAATAACTACTGACTAGTATTGAATCACTTTAATAAATAATATATTAAGTTTTACCATCATAACATGTCAATGTTCATAGTATATATATTTATTTATTTAAGATATTGATGTAAAATATCAATGATTTAGATTAAATTGGGTCTTAACAAAATGATAAATACAAACTTCTAAAACTTAGTTATTTACTTTTATTTAAGTTGTACGAATGAATCAATAAATTTTAACATTTAAACTTTGTTTGTGACTAGTCATCATTTGCTAGAAATAAGTATACCTTTTCGGTGTACATGACAGCTCAACATCAAATTGAAGAAAGTCAGTTGCCAGATGATGAGGAAGATACTAATATGGATAGTGATGATATTGTTGCTCCAAAAGAAAAACATATAGGGCGTTAGTTATATTCAGACTATTTAGTGTTAAGATGATTAGGTTATTTTTGGCTTTTAAATTTTTATAAATATATTAATGTATGTAGCTTGTGATTAATAATATCATATAATATATTTTCATTTTCTTCTTCTGTTTTACAATTTTTACAATTTTTTTTTTTTTTTATATTTTTAAATTTAAAGATTTGTATTTTATACCAGTTTGCTGAAAACGTTAACTATGTGTTATATATTTAATAAATAATGAATTATAAGATGTGATACAAAAAAAAAAAAAGAATTAGTTCACCCTTTTAAAATTGTTTTTCTTATTTTAAATGATTTATTATTTAAATAGTTTTTCTATATTTTTAATATTGCTTGGTGTAATCTCTTTGATTTTATTTTAAATTTTAATATGATATGGTATTTTATAACTCTAAAGTTACACTTAAAGTCGTATCAAATTATAAATTGCAAAATACATAATAGTATAAATTAAAAATTAGTAATAGGCAAAAAATATAATAACTAATTATAGCTATACTCCAGTATTCAGCAATTCACTCAGTTTAATTATCTGTATTATAATATGAGTTGAGTATAATACATAAATAGTAAAATAAAATTACATAATACAAATATTGGTAACAATTCTATTTTCAATTGGTATACCTAAAAGATTAACAAATATCCAAAACTAGTATAACCGTAATGAAAAGATTTCAATTTTATATAAAAAAATAGAAAATGTATGTATAAGTTCAAACAAAATTATAACTATTTATATATATTATATATTTATTTGTTTTAAGCAATTTAACATTGTTTGTTAAGGACAAAACATTGGTTATAAGGAACCTATACATACCTACTTTCTTATCAAAACTGTAATTGTCTAATATCTGTCTACCAGATTTTATATTATAATCTTAATAATTATCAATGTATTTTACTTTTGCTAATTATTTCTTTATCTCCTACAACCACATACGAGTATTCCATGAAGACATTTGAGTAGACTAGCCTGCATTCAAAATTTATTAATAAACAAAGTTTTAATAAATTACAACAAAGAAGAATGGCTGCTTTTTTCTGTCCAACGAAAAATGAACTAAGTGTATATTTTTTTAACAAAAAATATTTGGTTAATCAATTAATTTATAATAAATATGTACATATAACTTAGCATATCGTAATATTTATTACAAATAATAATTTTTAAATTAAATATGTATATTTCTTATGATAAATTTATTATAATGCACTTCCATAGTTTTTTAATTTTTTTTTTTTAAATCGGTTTATTGGATATAGGCTATTAAAATATTTTGGAGTTCTAACCCCCCCCCCCCCCCTGATATCCGCCTATGCCTTAGTACTATTAAGATAAATACACTCCGTTAAATTAAATTGATATAATGACGTAAGGTATGGCGACTAGTACGTTAAATAATCGAAAATAAAATAAAAGAAAACTGCATTGTTTAGAAAATATTACTTAGGCATAAAAATCTCATGAAAATTAAGAAATATGCAGTTTTTTATAAAATTGCCAAAATATGTGAAAAAAATGCATTTTTAATTTTTGTATTTAAACTCGTTTTTGTATGGAACGGATTTCTAGCTTAGTCTGTTATAAATTGAGAGTATACAGAAAATTATGCAACTCCCACAAATTTCGAGCTCTAGTTACGACTGATACTATTTGAGTGTCCACATTTTTCATCAGTCACAACTACACAAGAAAGAATTATTTTATTCGTGTGTATTTTGTATTTCGTATATATTTTTAATAATATTTTTATACACTTATATGTCTCGTGATGGGGGAATAGCAGTAAGGTTAGTGGAAATAAGACCGTCCATTTATGATTTTGGAGATAAGGACCAAATTTCTATTTAACGGATGTATCCATATTTTTATTTTTTTTTTTATAATTCTGTTTTTAATTTTGTTGTGTACCACATGCAAATCGCAACAACTTCATCAGATGACATGATGACAACTGATTTTTGTTTTGTCTAATGGTGTTTTGTATAGGTAGTGTACACTATAAAAACAAATTGTTTTTAGTTGACTAACACTGTCTAACGCAGTTTTGTTCTTTTGGTGTGCGATCGGCCTAAGACAATATAGTATCGACGATCAACGAAACAATTCCTAAAAACCCGTGATAAATTGATAACATTTAATAACAACATAAATACAATAGTAAACAGAAATCCATTTCTAAAAATGCGCTATCAAGGTCCGTAACTGGAAAAAAATTTCGGGGGGGGGGGGGGGGACAACCTTTTTTTTTAAAAATTTTTATTAAAAAAACAATATTCCCCGTTAAAATCTAATGTTTTTACTTTTGAAAATTTGGGGGGGGAGGGGGTTCCCGGACCCCTAGACCCCCCCAGTTACGGCCTTGATCAAGGTACTATGTAAGCCACGGACTAGTGTTGCTAAGATATCTAGTCCATAATGTAAATATACAGCTTTATTTGTCGTGTCTTTTCATAGTTAATTCGTATTTAGATTGGTCATTTCAATCATGGATCATGGTATCAGTCAGTAACGTGAATTTTATACCTCAAAAACAACATACTAGCATAGAACAATAATAGTAGGTACGGGCGGTGGTATTATATGGTACAAATATATAATTATATAATTTAGCAATATGCATAAAAATGTTTTAATTGAATCTGAAATTTAACTATGGACCCGAGCCTAGGTGGCACCCCTTCTATACGCCACTGTGTATGTGTACATATAATAATTATATTTAATTATTTTTGAAATATCGAACGTTCATCTACGGTTTCCAGTTCTTTAAAATACATTTCTAAAATTGTATTCATCATTTTCATCAGTTTATTTTTTGTTTCTTTGTTATCACTATTGCATTTTCTGAAGTTGAAATCCGTCTATAAACATGTGCATATTGGGACGAACAAAATTACTGTTTACTGTGTATAAAAAATAAAAAACTAGCGTATAATAAATAGAAAAACTGTATAAATATATAGTATTGTTTTTTTGCAGTAAAAATTACACACACACACACAATGAAATGTATATATATTTTAAATGTTATCTGATGTGCATTGCAAGAATCGTGTACGTCTCGTAATTGGATGTTGCAGAAGTATGAGTTTTTTTAAGATTGTGATTGTAAAACTTTTATTTATTCTCTTAGAGTACACTAATCATTAGGACTCGATTTCATTGAAATTAACAATTAGCAGTATTAACATTATTAATGGTCTTTTGTACCGATTGCGCTGTAAATGGAATGAAGGAATAAGAAACTAAAGAATCGAAACATATTGAAAATGAATTGACCTGCATATGCTGAACCCGATCATTATGTTCGTCGTTGACGTAATAGTACTTAATATTAAATTTACAAAATGTTTAATGAGGTTACTTGGGAGACTATTAGAAAAATAGTGCGCGATCAAACGAACATGATAAATGTTTGAGCTTAAATGTTCCCTAAAAAATACTCATAAAAACAAAAAGACGGTAAGCGACAAATTTGCACAAACTCTATTGAATGAATGAATATTGAGCCAGACTTAATGAAAAGGACGACAACATGCGATGAAACTGGGATTATCCTATATGATATGATTCACTATGATCCCGAAATTAAGAAACAATCTAATGGCCCCGGTAGGTTTTTTTCCTTTGGTTGATTTTGTTTCTTTATTGGCTTCTGTTTCGGCTGTTGTTTGGTTTCAATATGTTGATTCTGTTTTTGAATTGATTATTGTTTTGGTGGAAAATTGTTTTTTCAGTTAATTTTTCAGGTTGTTTTGCATACAAACAAGTTTTTTTTACTTGTTAATTTGTAAATTTTGTAGGTCATATGGATTATTGTAATTTTTTTTTATTGTCACTAGAAGCAATTCGTCCAGTATGAATGAGGCAATTATTTTTGGAGTTGATGTGAATCATCCAACATCAGATCAGAATAGTATTCCGTCAGTTGCTGCTGTAGCAGCCAGCCATGATCTTTTCGGAACTCAATATAATATAGAATGGCGTTTGCAAATTCACGTATTCACATGATTATATAAATTCACGGATTCACGTGAATAAAATTATAAATACACGTGAAATTTTAAGCAACGGGTTTTATAAATTAAACCTTAATTTCACGTGAGTACGTGAAAACGTATACACGTGAAATATGGAGCTCTAATCTAGACCTACCGAGTTAAATGGATAAATAGTAATCACTATTACTCGTACTTACATCAAAATCAAAAAAAAAATGAAAGAATGCTTTATTAAAACGGCTTTAAAGTGTTGAATAGTGAATAGGTACCATTGGTGGGTGGATGGTTATACAATTTTCAATTTGATTTATTGGGGTTGTGGGTGTACACAAACAATTTTACAAGGAAGGGTTTTAGGTTGTACATTTTCATAATTGTGAAATTCTTATACCACTTTTACTAAATATAGACATATTTAATAATTTTTCTAGATTTTGGGAGGGGTTTGAACATGTAAAACCTCCCCTGTGTACGCGCCTGTTGGGGGTGGTTTGAACCTGAACGTTGAACCATCCCCCGCCCCCAGCCACGGTATTGATACGCCAGACTATTGATTATGATTACTAGTGATTGTAAGCAATGGTCATACTGAGTGTGTACACCAATACTACATTAACACATATAAAATACCTACTGTTACGAGTTATTACAAACGCTATTGAAATAAAAGTAATATTTTTGACGTGTGGTGGTGACTGTTGGACACCGAACCGACTGATCCTCATTAATGAAGGAACAATTTTTATTGTAATATTCGATAGCAATAGTTAGTCAAAGAATATACCTAGGGGTTCAGTTATTATTAGAAGTTTTTTTTTTAAAAAAATATTGAATTTTATTTGTAAATTATAAATCTGATTTTAATAATACTATTTTATATTGAGAAACAATTTTGGCCTTAGGGTTAATTACCCATAACCCCCTCCTGGATATGCCGCTGGTGAAGAGTCATCATACGTACTTGTTGTGTTGCACCCGGTGTTATTTGGTTATTGATCATGTAAGTGATACCAGGATCGCCAGCACCATTGCCATGAACCAGAGTTCGCATTCGGAAAATATTATTCATTGGTATG